GAGCCGTTTGGTACCAAAAGAGCTTTCAGTTTCCTCTTTGGGTCACTTCTTCAACTTAATAGTGGAGAAAATAATAAGAGCTGCAAAACTAAACATAGAAAGTGCAATCTTTTGTAAGAGGGCGCAAGTATCGTACCAGAGCATGCCCATGGCATTGGTATCAACAATTGCGACGTTAGTTCTGCTATCTTCAGACCTGATAAGGAAGCAAGGGGAACGTATGAACAAGTAGTCAGCGCATTCGTATCTTGGCTTTCACATAATTTAAGTCTTAAGAGTTGTAGACGATTTCGAACCGATTTGTGGTGGACCCTCTAATATTTTTCAATAAATGAAGAGACCTACAGTTTATACCAAGCCGCCTCCAACCGGCGCTAAAGAAGAAGAGGTAAATAGATATTTGTGGTCTCGTTTGTTACAAAACTGAACCAGCTTACAATATTCTCTATTACCTCCTCCCTTCCTAACTTCTCAGCATTGAAGCAAGACTCCATACGGATCGCTTACCCTTCTACTTTGAATATAAACTCTGAATTGACGAAGTATTCAATTGCAATATATGAGCTAGTAAACTCGGAAGATTAGGATACACTGAAAATAAATTTAGTCTAATTCATCATTTAATTCGTACACTTTGATTCAGCAGTCGACTCTCCATCTCCATGTTCTGACAATGAACTAAAAGTTATCCTCCTAATATCTAACCTTAGAGAGGGGATACATAGCCGGGAATTTACAAAGGTAGCTCTCTAGGTGGGTAAGTTAGATTCCTTTTTACTTAGCCCACAAGAATACTAAGTTTCTTTTTGCTCAATGCAAGTAACAGTGTGATCTGTTTAGAAAATCTTAGGAACAGAGTTATTCTTACCTCTTACCACCAACTGAACCACCAACTGAACCAACATAGTTAATGGCCTGCAATAGGTGTTTTTTTACTTCGTCGAGGATATGCTAGTAATAAAAGCCTTCTAAGAAAAGTCCATCTTCCATCGGTTAAATGACATTTTCTTTCTTTGCGCCCTCTTAAGGTTAAAAATATGAATCCTAAATGAAACCTCTCTAATTTCTTGACCCTGAACAGTACACAATGCACTTGTATGTGCGTACATATGTACGAGTAAAAGCTACTGTTTGCAAAGCTGATATGAGTCTGAATATACTGCCTTTACGTACATACAATCGCATCTATGATAGGTACAACGGCCCAGAAGAGGTGTTCTGCTAATGTAGCGCGGCTGATCTCCATGTCTTGCGTGTCTTTCAGTTGTAATCGCACCGTGGCAACAAGAGCATTGCTTATCGTGTTCAGATAAAATGTTAGTAAATATACTAAATGCATTAAAACGAAATGGAAAACGAAAGTTGAATTCAAAAAATATTTATAATCACAATTAATTCCACGCAATGCTGGATTTTACAATATAATAAGACTACCGTCATATAGTGCCAAACAAAGAGAGATCAACAAACGAACTTCAAGCGCAGCCACAAAAAAAATATAAAGCAATGAAAATATTTGCAAAATGGAATTTAAGTGGTAAATCTAAGTGATAATTACATACGTACATCTCTATAAGAGTAAATTTTGGAGTATCACAAATGCGATTTTTCGAAAGTTGAATTTTCATTCATTTCACGTTTTAAAATTTTCATGTTTTGAGCGATTTATTGCGCGTGATAAGTAGGAAAAAAGTGAATTTATTTAATGTTATAACTAACTTTTATACAAGCTTACATTATGCATGTCTTTGTCTTGGTGCGTGTCTTTGATAAAAAGAAACTTGCTTACGCCTTATTGTAGGCAACTTTGTTATTATTATGTTTGTTTTCATTTCAAATGAACTGTTATCTACATTTAGGCTAAAATTGTTAGTGCAACAATGAAAAACAATCAAATTTATAATGAGAAGAAGAATTGTTTTTCATTCCAATATTTTCAACTGATGTGAATTTAAAAATTTTTTAAAATGCAATATAATTTAATAATGTATAAAGAGTGTCCGCGATAAAATACGTCTTTGCGCATAATTATTGGATATATTTTTGTTAATTAAATTTTATTCTGTTTTACTAATTTGTTTAAATTCTCTTTGTTTTTTTTTCATTGATTTTGATACACTATATTTTATTCGATTTATTCTAATTTTTTTCCTTTATTCTATTGTATTTCGTTATAATTTGTTTTGAGTTTGTTTTATTTTGTTTTACTGAATTATATTTTGTTGTACTAATTTATATTGTATTTAAGTTTATTTTACTTTATTGTGTTTTATATTAAGTTTTATTCTTATTTTATTTTATTTTTCTGGGTTTTATTATATTTAATTTTTTATTTATTTTTTATTTTATTAATTTCTAATATTTTTAAATTTAATTTTATATTATTTAATTTAATTTTTTTTTTTAAATATCATTTTATTTCACAGATTTTAATGTTATTTTATTCTTCTTCTTTCTTATTATTATTTGCTTTTTTTACTTTTTTTGGTTTTATTGTAGTTTATTTTTTATAAATTTCACATTTTATGTAATGTTGATTTATTTTCTATTGTTTATTTGATTTTCATTTAATTACTTTAATTTAATTTTTATTTTGTTTTATTTTTTTTTTTAAATTTAATATGGTTTTCTTTAAATAAATTTTATTTTTTTTTATATTGTGTTTTATTTTTTATTTTATTATATATTACCACATTAATTTCAATTTTCAATTACATTAATTTATTTTTTACTTTATTTTCTTTGATTTTATTTCATATAATATTTTACATTTTAAGTTATGTTGATTTGTTTTATATTGTATTTTTGATTTTTATTAATTACTTTAATTTATTTTATTTCTTCTGATTTTATTTTAATTATTTTATTTTATTATATTTTATATTACTTCATTTTTGTATTTAATATAATTTTATTTGTTTTTGTGTTTGTTTATTTTGATTCTTTTTTATTTTATTATTCCTCATTTATTTTATATAATTTTGTACATTTTATGTTATGTTGATTTATTTTCTATTGTTTATTTGATTTTCAATTAAATACTTTAATTTAATTTTTATTTTTTTTTATTTTATTATATGTTTTATATCAGTTTATTTTTTTTAATTTAATATAATTTTATTTTAATTCATTTTATTTGTTTTTTATCTTTTATTTTTTTTTTATTTTATTATATTTTATCACATTAATTTCAATTTTCAGTTACTTTAATTTATTTTTTAATTTATTCTCTTTGATTTTATTTTATATTATACTTTACATTTTATGTTATAATGATTCGTTTTATCATATATTGTATTTTTGGTTTTTATTACAATAATTACTTTAATTAATTCTTAATTTTTTTAATCTGATTTTATTTTAATTATTTTATATTATTATGTTATATATTAGTTTATTTTTTTTTCACTATAATTTCTTTTGTTTTTATGTTTTATTTTATTTTGTTTCTGTTTTTATTTTATTATTTACTTTTCTTACATTTTTTTGGTTTTATTGTAGTTCATTTTATATAATTTTTTACATTTTATGTTATGTTGTTTTTTTTATTGTTTATTTGATTTTCACTTAATGACTATAATAATTTAATTTTTATTTTGTTTTATTTGATTTAATTTTCATTATATTTTATATTAGTTTATTTTTTTTTATTTAATATAATTTTATTTTAATTCATTTTATTTGTTTTTTATCTTATATTTTATTTTTTTATTTTATTATATTTTATCACATTAATTTCAATTTTTAATTACTTTAATTTATTTCATTTTATCTATTTTATATTATTATATTTTATATTAGTTTATTTTTTTTTTACTATAATTTCATTTGTTTTTATGTTGTTTCTTTTTTTTTACTATTTACTTTTTTTTTACCTTTTTTGGTTTTACTGAAGTTTATTTATTATAATTTTTACAATTTATGTTATGTTGATTTATTTTTTATTGGTAATTTGATTTCGATTTATATTTTACTTTGTTTTATTTGATATAATTTTAATTATGATTTATTTTAGTTATTTTTTTTAATATAATATAATTTTATTTTAATGCATTTTATTTGTTTCTTGTATTTTATTTAATTTTTTATTTTCTTATATTTTATTACATTAATGTCAACTCGGTTTTTATTAAACTTTATTGTATTTTGTTGTTATTTACTTTATTATATTTAAGTTTGCAATATTTTTGCATTATATCATTTTAATTAATATTATTTCTTAAATCGTGTGCGGCTTTGGTTTAAGTTTTGCGCCTGAGTGTAGGCAACATTTTTGTTAAAGCTATTGTACGTTTAAAGTAAAATTGACATTTCGGAAATTTCCAAAAGTACATAAATACATGTATGTGACACATCTGAGCCACTGTCTTGGAGTCTAGCTTGCGATCGCAACTTTCGTAACGGTAATATTTTTTTACAGAATATGTAATCATATAAATACATACAAACAAAACACTTGCTGTGGCTTCAACTTGTTGCATGCCATAAGCCCTCAACTACGGAGCCAACTTACTACTATTAGTACATATATACTATATATTGTACATAGTAGATATGTATGTACATTGCCAGAAGTACAGACGAGATGGGAATGTAGGTCAATTGAATTACTTCTATGGCTTCCTCGCCTATGCAAAGTTGTAAAATAAACAACCAGACCCGACAGCTGTTAGCTTTTTCGCTCTCAGTCAACCGGCGATTGCTCACTTGCTGTGCCAACAACACTACAAGTGGCATAGAAGTGCAGAAAAAAATCCAACAAACTAATAAATATATAATTCATTTACTTGGGCATCCTGTGCAAAGGATATGCAACACACACAATCCAACGAGTATTTGAGTGTTGGTAACTAACCAACTGATTTTCGCTGCTTGATAAAATTATTTCAACATGATTTCCTATCTCTTCCTTACTTATATACATACATATTTCGCATTTAGTGTTCGCTTGCTTTAAATTTTTCATTAATGTTTTTCTATTTTAATTTTTTTGTTTGCAGGCATTTTGCACAGCCTCTTCGAAGGTCTCGTCGACAAAGATGAAACGGTGCGCACGGCCATCAAAAGTTCGTTGGTGAAAATATTAGAAACACATCCGGCACGCGCCACCGACATACTGGTGGAGTATCGCGAGAAGAATCCCAAATTGTCGGAACAGACAATCATCATATTGCTAAAGTGAGTTGTTAAGTGAGGGAAAAGGTGTGAGGATTTCAAATTAATTTTAAGTGGCAGCGGGAAGTGTTGGAATCAAGCGAATAAATGTAGAAGTTATGATTTCTGCAAATTTGTCATGCTGGCCAGGAAAACAAAGCAAAGTAGAACTTTTTTTTATGATAGTATAAGTCTGGAAGTTAACGTTCTTAAGACTTGTCTGCGAAGGTTTCAGAGCAGGCACAATCCCGCCCTGAGGACCTTGACGGGAGACTTTCTGATGTTATGTTTTAATTACAAAGCGTTTTCCATCCTGATGTTTCTTTTTCAAACAAATTCCTGATGAATATTTTGGTTGAGCTCAGAGGGACTGACTTTTCCTGCCGAGAGGAAACTGCAATTAAATAATTTTTGCTTGGTAATTTTGGTTGTTGGTCTCTGCAGCTTTCCAATCTATGACCCTCCGCATGGCAGCACACACTACTAACTACAGTTGTTGTTGTTGTTGTAGCAGTTCACCAATCCCGTTTAGAAGAAGACGATACTAGTCTGAGTCGTCTAAAAAGATATCCAGAAAACAAGCTGTTTCGACGGATTTCAATCAGGGGAAATGGGGGTTAGATGAGCGGGTCTAAGCAGGTAATTATACTACTAAGTACGCCTATATTACAGCCGTCAGACAGAGTGTGTTCATTGAATGAAGTTCGATGTTAGACTCGAATGAAGAAATTTCAGACCTGTCGAAAGTATGGCAAAGCGAAATCAGAAAGACGTACTTACATAAATGCGCGTACAACACAGATATTTATAGACAGACCTTGAGCGCCATTCACAGAGGGTCTTCCCGTAAATAGAATCATCCAATCACCTGCCATTGCAGGCGAAGAGCCCGAACTCCATGGAAGTACCCGGCTAACTGGTGGAAGTAGTTTCCTGGTTTTCAATTCTAATAAGAACATGCTCTCATGCAGAGGTTACAGGTGTTTTCAAGCGTTTTTATGCTAAAAACATGAATCGCGGACCTCCATGTTCGACCTTATGTAGCTGATTAAGCGTTCTGGCTGAAACTACTCCTTCTATCGGAAGATTGAAAGAGACTTCCATTTATTTCAGTCACGTTCTCGTAGTAAATTCCCCGAAGCCATCCAATTTTGTATCCACTTGGAGTTTCGTTAGACCGTAAAGAGTCTTTGTTATTGTTGGTTAATAAGAAGCGATGTAGTCTACGCGAGTTTATCCAAAAGAAAAAGAAGAGACTCAATGTTAATCCGTGACGGTTGCTGTTAGAGTTGTAAGCGAAAAAATATTCCCCAAATTCAGTTTCAAAGAACATTACGGAAGTGACAGTCCTTGAGTCCTTGAATCCGGTTTGGTCCGGTCTAGAGTTCTGATTGTTATGGAAGTTATTGGATTCTGGACGCCTCTTATGATATGCCTTGTATTCTTGAACTTCTAACCTGCCACGCTGCTCTCAGACGCTTGTTGTTGATTCAGGATAGAGCAAAACGATCCTGAGACTACAATACTTCAGCATTTTACGTTGTTGATTTCTTTATCGTAAGGCAAATCTCCTTTCCTTTTTCCTTTCGTAGCATAATTTTAGAATTCACTAATTAAAGCCTTGATCGAACCAACACTTTTGTGCTCTGCAGCAAAATATTTTGTCCTACTTTAAATAAGTCCATTTGATAATATTCCTTTTTAGAGCCATCGAACGCGTTGTCAACTCCGACACTCCCATACCAACAGAGGCGAATAAGAAACTCATTATATTAGCGATCGAAGAGCTAACACGTTCGGCTGATCACCAACCACTCGTACAAGAACACGCCCTCACCATTCTGGTAGCCATCGGACGAGGTAATGAATGCAAAGCGGTGATGGAGGCGTTGATGACGCACACCAAAGAGGGCGCTGTGGCACATTTTATGGTGATGCAGTGTTTAGGTGCCATGGCAACGGCAAATGTGCCCGGGGTTGTGCCCTTCATCAAACCGATACTGGCTACCATACTGCCTAATTTGGGCGGCATCAAACATGATCACATCAAGCAAGCGCATGCCTATGGTGAGTTTTTGAGATTTCGTGCCTGTTTGATGTTTGCTAAAATAATTCAAATACTTTTTTTCTCCCCATCAGCTATTGGTCACTTCAGCGAAGCATTGTTGGAGCAATCACATGGCGTGGCTGCTGTGCCAATCACCACAATTAGTCCACCCAACGATGATACAAAAACCACGTCGACAACACCAACAGACTCGTCGGTCGATTGCTCTACAGAGATCTCCGTTGCTTACGATGTACTCTTCAATCAATGGTTGCACTCGCGGGAGCCCAAAGTATGCGTTGAAATTCTGCATGCACTTTCTTCAATGTATCCGCTGTTGCCTGTAGACAAGATACAGGATCAATCAACGCGTTTGATACCGCAAATATTGGCGCTGTACCGGCGTTCGATTGAACGCAACTCCGTCACGCAATTCCTCTCATCCGTGCTGAAGACAAATATTGCACTGCAACCGTCGATTTTAGATCCAGTCGCCGATCAACTAATATCCAGTCTCTTCGATTTGGTTTGCGTATTTCCCGACTATGAAAAGCCGCAGACGGTGAAGGGTCACTACGAGGTATTGCGTTGCTTTCATTTACTCTCGGGCATTTATGCCGCGAAGATAGTTGACACTTTGCTGATACACTTACGTAATAATAGCGAGCGTGATCGCATTAAATCGCTGCTCATACTCACACATCTGCTGAATACGTCCACAGCGCAGATAGGCGATAAAATGCAGGCTTTCCTTGAATGTCTCAAGCCGATGGTTATGGCCGAGAAGGGCATTAAAATGAAAATGACGCTGCTGAAGACGATAGTGGCGCTTTCCCAGAAAGGTTTCATCAAGGAGAAAGAGTTTGTTTGGTTTGTAGTACGTTACAGCTGCAAATACACGAAGGTGAACCAAGAGCACGGCTCACTGGAGGAGCATGCCAACTTTGTATTGTCCTGCGAGAACTCGCTCTTCATGCTGTCCTCCACAGCGGGCACAATGGATGAGCTATTGAAGCGTGAGCTGCTAAATTACTTCGTGCTTCTAGACTACACAGATGTCTGTTCGAACTTGGCCAAATGTTTGGGTAGTCTCTTTGCCAAGTCGCCGAATATCGAATATGAGATCGCAACTGACGAGGAGGGTGACGAAAAGAAGGATGGCGCTGGCGAAGAGCATGCCAAGGAGACTGGTCACACGAATGTTAAAAGCGGCAAGATAATTGTGCCGTGCGCTGAGTCCATATTTGCGCGTTGTCTTGCTTTGCTCGGAAACTATCACTGCATAAAACGTTCGTCCAACATTTTGTCCTTCCTCAAATACTATTATCCACATTTGAATCCCGAGCTGAATGCGCTCTGGGATCAACGTATACCTGATCTACTGCTACACATCAATAAAGAGTCGGTGTTCTCACGGAAGCTCATAGAATTTATAACCGAAACTGTGGAATACCTGAATACACGAGATGAAAATTTCGCTGAACGTCTAGTCAACAAGATGTCCGATCAAATGAATCTCTACCCCATCAGCACGCTGCACACCGAGTTCGTTGTTTCCCCAATGGCAATCGAGCGTGGCATGCTCTTGAAATCGCTCGCTTTGGCGTTGTGTTTCGTAACCGAAGCGCAAACCATTAATGCCAAGATCGACTTAATCATTGGCGCAGCGCGTCAGGAGAAGCTTGACAAGCATATAAAACATGCGGACTATGAGCAGAAAATCGCGCCTTGTGCTTTGGCACTGGGCTATATATCACGCAAGCACTTGTCTCATTTAATCAAGAAATTGGCAGAGCTCGCGCATATTGGCGGCCGCAAGCATTCAACCGGTTTCTTCAGCAACTTGCATTTCATCAAAGACACTCACAAAGAGCAGGAGTTGTATAAGACGAATCTGCTGGTGATCAAGTCATTCGGTCACATACTGGACGAGTCGGATCCCATGCAGTCGCTACAGAACCTCGATGATACAATACTCAATTTCCTAATTTTGCAATTGACCGGCACGAAGGATCAAACCATTATGTCAGCTATACTAAAGACCCTGCTGAGCATTTGTAATCAAATAATTGCAACAAAGGAGCAACTAACGGCGCCACTGAAGTACCGCAAACAGATAATGGATGCTGTATTCAGCATACCTATCGAGGCGCCATTCAATGATCTGCCGCTACTGCCAACAATTCTTAAACTGGGCACAGATTTCATACGTATAGGTGAGAGTTTAGAAAATGAATTTGAAAAAATTTATAAAATGACTGCTAAATAAACTCGTATTTATTTTCCAGGCGGCGTTGACGCAACCGAATCAGTTGATGGTAGCGTAATTTTCGAAATTGCTTGTAAGAATTTCTTCTCCTGTGCACAGCACTTAAAAATTAAATTCGATTCACCCGAAGAGGATGAGCGCAATAGTTTTCTAGCGAAGCACTTAAATGAATCGTTGCCCGAGTTGAATGCACTCGCCAAGGCTATAATAGAAACCGATCCATCACCCAGTACACTCGATTTGATAATATCGATTTTGGAGTCCTGGACACGGGACAAGAATTCGGAAGTACGCATTTGTGCATCGCACGTCTTCAATAATGGCCTCGAAGTTTATATAAAATCAATGAAGATCGGCTGTGAGGCACCTTCGAAATTCAATCAAACCGGTCAAATGTTGGGTAAAATTGTGCCACGCTGCATCGACTCGAATGGTACAGTGCGTCAGGTGTCTGTGGATATTTTACAGAAGACATTGGAGATTTCTTGTATTTACGAAACACTCACCATTGCCGACAGTGAAACGGACTGGGTGAAGGAGATCGATTTGGTCAAAGAACAAATAATAACCGATGATCCTAAGATGATATATAATTTGGCTGGGGAAATCGCTAAAATTATTGCCTTGCGTATGTCAAATTTTCAGTATTTGCAATTTTGGTAAGTTAGCTTCAAATTTTTAGACATTTTTAAGCATTATCGCTGCCTGCTTTCAAGTTTTTCTTACTGCGCTGCAACAAAGCTCATCGTATAAGCTCTTGTTTCGGTTACGTCGTCGACTATTGTAGAGAGCAGGGTTACTAGTCGGTCTTTAATCTTTTTTTTAATTGTGTTGATGGGTGCTCTTAGCTGCACAGGGTGTAATGCGTATTCTGACTGTAACAAGATAAATCTCTAAGTATATGTCTACACCACGGAGTATGCGCACATCTAGTCTGTTACAACCTGATCAATTTTTTTTACACGTTTTTCGGTACAGAGAGAGCCGTGTAGCTTGATATATTCTCCTGCGCCGGAATTAGATGCTAAAGGCAACTATATTTCGTACACCAGCGTAGTCGATAAGTCTCATTCCATTTGGAAATATTTCTTGTCTCAATTTTAATATGGTTACTTGAGCAGCTTACATACGTTTTCTTAGAGCGCTCATCAAAGGTATCTTTGGCCTTATCGTATTTCTTTTTCTCTCGAGAAGTAGATGCTAGCCAATGACCGCCTCTCTTAAACCCAACACCAAATATGTGCTGCTTCATACGACCACTATAACATGCAATGTTACAACAAAAATTTTTTCGTCCATCCTTTTCCCCTTCCTTTCTAACGAGGACTTCCCGATGATTAAGGGATGACATTTCAGATTGACGTGGACGTCATCAAAATTAGAGCTTCTCATACGGGGTTGTTGAAATTGTTATTTTAGACATATCCCAAGGGTACCTCACATTTGCTGAGTGTGCACGCTTCACAAGAGTTGTTAATACCGTTAATTTAATTTTATATTAACTCATTCCCATAGTAAAACTCTTCTACAAGGATTGCGTGATCCAGAGCAAAGTTCCTCGATTGGTGCTTCAGTGGTTTTGAAATTCTTCATACAACACAAAGGTTCCGAATTATTCCATGCTATACCGGATCTCGTCAAGGAGAGTTTGAACGTAAGTTTTATCAAAATCAAAATATTAAAAAAAAAATATTAATTCTTAATAATTTACAATAATTTTAGGCCGTGCGCGAGTGCGACATAAATCGTGCACGCTCGGGTGTGCTTAAAGCGCTCGTGGCGTTAACGAAACATCACCCGAAACTGGTATGCTTCGAGATGCTGACACAACCGCTACCATACGAAAGGTGAGTGGCACTTTTTGACCTTTTGCTTGGGTTTATTGAAGTAAAAAATATCAATTTTTATTCAAAATAGCAACACCGTCGAATATTGGCATCTTATTGCCAATGACTCCGAACTGACCGCCGCGCTGCTAGAAAATTTCCTGCAAGTTTTAACCGCCTCCTGTCTGTACGAACCCAACGAACCAGCGACCAGTGAAAGGCAGAAAATCGCGAGCATGCAACCTTTTGCCATTTTCTGTGCTTTGAAAGAGATTATGCCATGCAAGGATGTTAAGGAGGTATGTCGTCCGCAGTGTGAGTTTTTCTAGGAAATATATATTATTTTCTCTTCATTTACAGGAACTGAATAAGAAATTTCCCGAACTCTTCACCATGCTCCTAACGTCTCTGGCTACATATACAAATTTGGCGCCACCCATGCATACGGGCAGCCAGCGCAGCAACTCACCTACTCAACCGACCGTGAATGCCTCTACCGCTTCAATCTCCACAGTCGCCTCGTCAGCCAAATCCAAATTTGGTTTTGTGCCGAATAAAGATTTGGTTAAATTGAATCCCTGTCAGATTGTTTTGGACACATTCCAAGCATTTCTCGGTAATTTGGAAATGGAACAAATCGCTACAGTACTCACAGTACACACTCAATTGGCTAGTAGCACCGATTTGAAACACTTTATTGAACTCTTGACACCTATCGCTATTGGTTTGGTGAATCAACTGCAAGTCGGCTCAAGTACTATGAAGCACGTTGTGACGGCGTTGAGCAAATATGTGGCATCGCCATACGATGGTCAGCGCATAGCGGCAGTTGGTCTGTTTTCACGTCTCGTGCCGTTGAAACCTTGTGGCGAGATCTCATCGGTGATTATGTTGCATCTTAGCTCTGCGCTAAGTGACCCCAATGCTGTTGTGCGTGGTATAAGCATACAGGGTTTAGGCTATGTGGGTAGTCTCACTGAGCATGATATTGAAAAGTATACAGAGACGGCTGTTACAGCACTGCTGAAGGGCATTGACGATACTGTCAGGTGTGTATTGCGGTGAATTTTTCTATACACAAAATAAAAAAAAAATTTAATTTCCTTAATTTCAGTGACTGCCTCATTAATATACCGCTGGAGAGCATGCGTGGTTTAGCAAGAGTTTTGCAAACACTACCCAGCGATCGTCTGGAATCATTTCATGTCTCTTTGGCCATACGTATACGACCATTCTTCGGCAGCTACTCCATTGAGATACGTGAGGCGTCCATTATACTCTTTGGCGATTTGTGCGAGTCGAAGAAGGCGCACGAAAACACAGGCAACATATCGCCCACTGCGGCGTCCACAGAGGCGTTACGCGAGCAATTGATCGCCAATCTATTTCCGATTTTACTGCATTTGAGTGAGGGTGAAGCCACCATTATTAGGGTGAGTAGAATAGATTTTCGAATGGAATTTATAATCATTTCTCTTTTGTTCTAGGCCTGCAAGGGTACTTTACGCAAAGTTTGTGGCTTGTTGAATGCGCCAAAAGTTAATGAGATGGCCCAGCGTCATCTCATCGATCACGGCCAATTGAATTATGGCGTTTTCATAGTGGATTTTGTAAAACTAATTGTATGTAGCAAAGTTAAAAAAAAAATCAGTTTGAACATTTGTATGCTAAATTGTTTTTCTTTTATTGCAGGCTATGGACTTGCCTGCGCATATACAAGATTTTATTGACTCGGCAATACCCAAGTTACGTAGCCAATGGCCAGAGGTGCGCGGCAGCGCTGCTGTTGTAATAGGTATTACAAGTTCATACACATTATGACAAAGGGATAAAACTTTTTTGAAAACTCTCTCTTCAGGCATACTCCATAATTTTCTGCCGGAGCGTAATGCTCAAACCGAGTCGGTGGGCAATAAACTGGCTGTACTACTAAAAGATGAAAATCACTTTGTACGCGTTAAGGCCGCCACAGCATTGGGCTATTTCTTTGGTGACATTTGAAAGGAAAAAACTGTTGGCAGTTCGGCTAGGCAGCGGTAATGTGAAACCAAATAGTAACTGAAAGTAGTTTAAAAGCAGCAGTCATTTATGAATTTATAAAGTGTACCTAAAAGGAAACTATGTAGCAGTGCGAACATGTGTCTATGTGATTAATGAAAAAAAGCTAGGTTAATATATGTATATTATTATTGTTTTATAAACTATGGTAAATATAATATTACTTACATTATTCAAGATAATTATGCGCATATATGCGTGTATATATCATTTATTGTTACCCCTGCTTGTGCAGCACTTTTTCTTAGATTCTCAATCCACATACGAATTTGCTTAAATTGTAACTAAATTATTCTATATAAATTGTTTGATTAAGTTTTTGGCCAAAATGGTAGACAGTTAAAATGATTAAAGCGAAAAATCTAAAGTAAAAGAAAACACTTGGAAAGTATTATTTAAAAAAGTTGATTGATTTATTGGAAAAAGTGTAACGCAGTATTTTGCAAAATTATGTATGTATGTAGCTATTTACCTCATATAATAAATAAATAAATAAAAAAAAAAACATTTTAATATTTATGTACCACAAATAAGAAGTGTTTTTTTCTACGCTCTAAATCACATATTGCCAATCGGAAAATATTCTATGCGCCCACTAGACCAGCCAATGGTCAAAACAGTATCCGTATTACGTCGATTTTTGCTTTGGAAGCAAATATAGGAGGGATATTCGCTGCTCAGGCCAGTAAGAAAGCAGAGCGGTGAAATGGTCATATCGAATTTCTTTAAACACGTATTGAACAGTGCTATGCACGGTGTGTCCTTAAATATGACCGCCAAATAGCGACCATCTGCGTCCCAGGCCAACGATTGGGGTTTGCCGCCGACCTCACGACGACCAGCATTGAATTTGGTTAGATCGGCAATTTTTAAAGCTTCCTTGGTGGAAGTGCCGGCTGTAATACAGAAAAAAATTGATTTAAAATTTACTAAAAATATACATATGTAATAAAAAAGTTAATAAAAAAATATATGTATTACAAAAAAAAAAATTTCATTAAAAAATATATATTTATTAAAAAAATATATATGTATAAATAAAAAAAATATATATATATTAAGAAATTCTTAAAAAAATATATACATTAAAAAATTCATTACATAAAAATATATATATATTTAAAAAATTTAATAAAAAATATACACAAATATTTAAAAATTTATTAAAAGTATATAAAAATTGCAAATTTCATTAAAAAATATATATTTATTAAAATATATATATATATATATATTAAAAAATTCATTAAATAAAAATATGTATATATTTAAAATATTCTATAAAAAATATATACATACATATATTAAAAAGTTCATTATAATTTTATACTATATATGTTAAAAAATTTATTAAAAACAAAATATATATATTAAAAAAATTCCTTAAAAAAACATATATTATAAAAAAAAAATAATTATGAAAAATATGTACATATATGAGAAATTAAAAAAAAAAAACTTATCAATAAGGATACGTTTTGTAGGCAGCATTATACAAGTCAAGACTGTGTTTGTGTCGTGGCTCACCTGTAGCTTGCCTTACCAGGAAATTTTTATATCGGCAACTGCCAGTAAACGACATCAACAGCACGCTACAAACATTAGAATGCATTCTTCATAGGTTATGTAGCGTGCATTGCCTACAAGTATACAAAAATATTAATTTTTACTCACATGCAAAGACCTGTTCGTCCTGGAAGTGCAAACGGTAGAGTATGCTATCACCGGTTGTGACAAAAAGCATAAAATTTCCACACGGTGACCAACAAGCAGACTGCACCACACCATAATTTATAGTCCAACGTTCGGGCGTCCACTTTTTATCGGCTGACCACACACGAAAAACGCTGCCGACTGTCGCAGAAAATAGGAAAGAGCCATTTGGTGACCATTTCAATAGTGAGCATGGTGGGCCAACTCGTCTCAGCGGTGTGTTTTGTAACTTATCTACATCCCATATTAAAATATCCGTATCGCTAATAGAGGCTGTGGCCAATAGCGTACCGCTGGGGCTCCACTGCACAGAAGTTATAGGGCAGTGGCCAGGACTATAAATAATTAATATTACTTCTTCTAATATATACTTTCCATATTGACTTACTGTTTCAAAAATACTGCCTGTGTGGCGCTGCGTGATATATGCATACTTGTGTCCATGGTCCAGAGGCATACGCCCTTTTGACAACCAATTGCCAACTCAGCTGCTGTTAGTGGACGCCACGCCATTGACGTTATCCACTTTTGTGAACCGCTCTGAAAAAATAAACAATTACTAATAAAAAAAAGTAGCCAAAAAAATTGTTCTAAACGGCCTACCTTTAATACCGGCACCATTGCGGTTTCATCTGTGTATATGCGTACAATATCATCTGAGCCCGCTACGGCAATTTTGAAACAATTCGGGTGCCATACAATGCAACGTATATATGAGCGTAACCAGTCACGCGTTTCAGAGTAATCTGCTACATTATTCACGCTTACCTCACGCGTATGTGGAAATATTTTTGTTTTGAGCTTCTTTACGAACTCCAACATTTCGAATGTATATTTGGCAGTAGCACATATCAGCGGACTTGCAGTGGCTGTTTGCCGGTCTCGTGCTTCATTTAATGCTTCAATAAAGCCGCTCTCGAAAAATGTGCGTATGATGCGTTTGATTACACCCTCGTTCACAGGTATCATTACATTGCGATAAGTGTCGTTTGGGTGTCCGCTGACTGATGTGCTGAACATTTCACAGTTTAAATTTATTTCAGGATAATATTCCGACTAAAATTAATTATCCTATATTAGATTACGAGTTACCGGCTAGCTTTTATCATTTAACTTACCACTGAGCAGCTGTCCACTTCATTTTGGGGTAAGGAACATAGCTGACCCGGCACAATGAAAGTGGAGACGTCTTGTAGTGACACCATTTCAGTCTTATTGTTTTATTTTTCTTATGCGAAAACGAAAATTATATTAGTAGTTCAAATGCAACTTTTTCCACTAAACAAAAGCCGATAGCAGGCCGGTAATTTACGCGAATTGAATTTGACAGCTGCAATGCTGCCAGTTCGTCGGTTGTTTTTGTAGCGGTTCGTTCGTGTAGTATGCAGTGGTTTAAAAATAAAAATGGAGGCATTTATGAGTAACACAAACGATGCTTTTTGCAGGCTATATCTCAAAATATGAGGTCTTTTCTGCATAACAAGACTACTAAGAGTTATTTATCTGCGGCTTGTGGACAGTGTTCCACTAGACAGACACGTATAAGAGACAGTTCTACACTCTTAAATAAAAGTTAAAACTAATTCGAAGGGCAACACATGTCAAAGAATTCTGCCACTTTGATGAAAAACGGAAACATAGACTTTTGTTGTTATCTAGGCGTGAAACCAAAGTTTCGAAGTTTTTTTAAATGAAGCAATTTATTTAATAAGCTGTACGATATGTTAGGCTTCCAGCTGCGCTTTAAGACAGGAAAGGTCACGTTCGACTTTATGAAGGGAAGGAAGGGTCCAGGAACCCTTAAAATATGATCAAGTGGCTTATGGACAATCCCTTACGAATACATTCAGCAGTTATTTTCACTTGAAATATACGAACAGTATGGTAGCACCACTCAACGCCACCCACTATCAAATTGTAGGCAAAACTTTTCTAAAGGAATGTCAAATTTGACAGCTTAAAGTTCGCGAACAAGGTGAAAAGTTGGTAAATTGTTTACACTGTTTTGAGTAAATTAGAATTTTGGAGAATTTGCATAAACTTGCAAATAGGCGCGGGTAAAGAGAGTGAAAGTTAAATTGCTGGTTGTGTAAAGGTGAGCGAATATATCGTCTTAAAATATTTTAGAATGTGCGTAATCAAATGATAGCAAAAGAAGTTAAGACAATTGTTGCGAATTGATTTTTCGCCTTGGCTGTGTTTGTCGCTTGTTTGTTGACCATAAATAAAAAGGGAAGTGGGGCATAAGGACCAAAGGCGAGATGGGGTCAAAAAGTGTATTCCTGGTGCTGTAGTGGTCTATAGAAGTGTGTCATGATGATATACAATTTTTTTGATTGTCACTGATAAGCGGTTACCTATACGTAAAGCGAGCGCGGGAATGTCAAATCCAGCTAACAAGTGCAAAGAGTGTTAGCTAGACAAGTGCATAATCAGCCAATCGTGACGAACTATCTTAAAATAAATAGAGAATTTAAAGACAATACACAAAATTAAATTTACACACACATTTTCAAATTTATTATTCATAATTACATAAAAAAAATTAGTTTAAAATTATCTACAAAGTCGCTAACATTATTATTATATATTTTATTTATCAGTTTATAAACAGTTACTTATGTATGTATGTATGTATATATTACATCTTTCTTGACAAAGGCAGACCGTAAATACTGTTGCTAGTCATAATAATGCCGCTGGTGTTAACCAAAGAGCGGCCGCTTGGTACTATAATGGACGGTTCATCGCGTGAATGATTTGATTTTCTTTTCGAAAGCTTGGATTTTACTTTGCGTACGAATGTGTTGGAACTCAATGTAGATTTCATCGAAACATTGGTTTTACTAAGTAATGTAACACCACTAACACCACTGCTCTGTTCCTTTTTGCACGCTCCACCGACACCGACGCCACCAATCAAATGTTGTGATTTGTTGTTACGATGCTGTTTTTTAACTTTCTTTGTTGAGGATTGCTGCACAGCGGTAACAACGAGGCCACCTGTTTTGAAGCGATTAATGCCATGTACGCTCCCTTTCGATGTTTGCGTTGAGAGTGCGCCGTGTTGATTGCTATTGTTGGCGCGGTTGGCAGTGGTGGAATTGTGATTGTTGCGTGTTTTCGATCTACTTTTGGTTAAGCGCGCTATGAGTTGTGTTGTATCAGCGATTTTTGTTAGTGCGTTACTAGAAAAAGCAAAAGTTAATATCAAATTAAAAAAAAATCACTTTCGTGCCTTAAATTACCTGCGACGTCTGAGTTTGTGCTCCCCATTTACTACCTCTTCCTTCGTGGGTGCCTTAAGCTCCTTCTTCGCTTGCGAAACTTTTCTAAAAATACGCATTGTACGCTCATTCTCGATAATCTCCGGCATACCTAACGCAATGGCGCCCATTTGTATATCAATTTTTCGTGTTAGTATTGGCGAAGCGTCCGCACCACTATCGCCATAAGCTTTGTTGGTGTTGCTTAATTCCTGCTGCCAATGCATCAACTTTTGTGAACAGGCGCTAATAAGTAAAGCGCTTTTATAACACTCAGTCGGCAAGTTACGCATATCTTTAAAGCTAATCACTTACTTGAGAAATGCTTCATTATCGGCTTTTTGAAGATTTTGATTTTCGCGCGATGATTTTTTCAGCCGTTCACAAGTTTGTGGTTTTAGCTGGCCCGTTTGGTGCGAACGGCGCAGGATTTGTTGATTCCATGAGAGTGGTCGCTGACATTCCACGATATCCTTAGACTTATCCGGTTTAAGACCAGTCCAGTATTTTTTCTTTAATGAAAGTTTTAAATCTAATTCCTCTATGTTGTTTTCGTTGGGATTGTAGGAGCTCATCAGACGTGAACTAAAAGCGAATTTGAGCATATTAAAACAAAAAAAAAAAAAATTAACAACAACAAGTCTTAACATGTTTGTGCACTTGCATGCTTAAATCTGAAATATCGTGCTTTCCATTGTAAGGCATCCAAATCACTAAACCACTCACTTTTGTCGGCCCATACACACCGGTTTGAGAGCACCATTATTGAGGTTATGCCATGAGTTTGTGCGCCTAGCCGGCTTAAATGCCACCGGAAATTCGAGTGTACCGATCGCATCGGGTTGCCGCTGCGTAGACGGCGTCATAGTTGGCCTGATAGTGATTTTTGTACCTTTCGATGGTGATGTTATAATCAATTCGGGTGGCATTTTGGCTCTACCTCGTTCTGTAACATTATCTCCAATCTCTTCGATATAGCGCCGTTGTAATTCACTCTGCAATAAACGGCGGGCACGCTCACGCGGCGCAATACAATATTGTGGCAGGCTGGTGTCCTCTTCACGTGGATTTGCCTCGTCATCGGTTGAGAATATTAAATCGGCGCTGGGATCTGTGGTGGGTAGATCCAGTGCTATGCGTGTTTCGCTGCGTTTGCGATTGCTGTGCGAGCGGCGTGGACGGGGCTTACGTTGCTGTGATGAGAGTGAAGAGAAATGTGTAGATATTTTGAAAATATCAATTTAAATATTTCATGTATTGAAATGAAATACTAAATTACAAAAAATCAAGAAAAAAACTTTAAACATATCCTTCGAGCCGGATTTGAACCAGCGACCTATGGATTTCTATGCTTTGGCAATTTCCTCTACAGTCCACCGCTCTACCAACTGAGCTATCGAAGGTGTTGTTTGGCGGGTGTCAAAAGTATCAAACGAAATTAATGCGATTTTCACACACATCAAAACAAATGATCCATAGCGAACGAAGCCACCTGAACAACGAATGATAATACTTGCTTTTGTTTGTTTTGGTAAAGATTAAGTAAAAAAAAAACTTATAACGAGTTCAATTTGATTTATGTAATTTATTGTCATTAGCACATTTTAAATTTTTTGAGCTGCTTTTGTGAAATTTAATTAGCTCGGTAATATTAAGGAGCAAGACAATATTAGAGAAAAAAAAATTTATTTCTCATATCCTTCGAGCCGGATTTGAACCAGCGACCTATGGATTTCTATGATCTTGGAATTTCCTCTACAGTCCACCGCTCTACCAACTGAGCTATCGAAGGTGATACCGAATTTTGTCAAATAACTCATAGAAGCTGCTGGATATTTCAGTTGCTTTGAAAACATAAAATTCGGATTTGTTTCTAACTTTTGGTGAATTCCAATATAAAATTTTGTTATTCAGAGCTCTTTCTAGAATTAATTTTTACAGCAGTTTTTTTTGAATCACTTTCAACATTACAGCAATAATATTAACTTTTACGTTCTTTTCCTCGCGATCTCATTAATTATAACATTATAAATTATATTAAAAATATATAAATTTGATTAAAATTATATAAATTTGATTAAAATTATATAAATTACATAAAAAAATTTATAAACTTTATAATAAAATGTATAAAATTCATTAAAAAAAATTTTAAATTTTTATGAAAGATTTTTAAATTATTTAAAAGATTATGAATTTAATTAGAAAATTTATAAATGTCATTTAAAGTAAAGAAAATTAGAAAATGCATAAATTTTACAAAATTTTTTTTTTTAATGATTGTTAAGAAATTTACAAATTTCATTAGAAAATTCATAAACATAATTTCAAAATGATTAAATTTTATTCAAAAATTTTTTTAATTTAATATAATAAAGTACTTCCTAATTTCATCAAAAATTTAATTTAAAATCCTTCGAGCCGGATTTGAACCAGCGACCTATGGATATCTATACTTTGGCAAATTCCTCTACAGTCCACCGCTCTACCAACTGAGCTATCGAAGGTGTGGTATGAATTGTGCCAAATGCCTGTTTTGTGTATTTGTTACCGTATGGTTTTGCATTTGGTTTCGTCTATACGCAAACCTATTCTTATGCTGCCTGCTACAATTGTAGAGTTCTAAATGGTGACTTACCCTTGGTGGTGGTCTTGGCTATTATTTTTACATTAATTTTTGTCTCTACTAAAATGATTTTACTTGGTATTAATTTGTGGAATAAGTAAGTGTATTGTGTGTGGAACTCGGTCCAATTTCTATTATTTCATGCGAAAGTGGTTTTAATATTAGATAAAATTTTGAAAATTCTAATTCAGCCAAAAGGCAAGCTCAAGAAATTAATTAAAAATAAAAATTCAATAAAAAGAAGCAAAATAAATAAAATAAAATAGCATTAAATGAAAGTAAAAATTGTTAAAATAATTCAAAATTTAATAATTAAAATAAATTAAATTAAATTAAATTGAATTAGTACTAAGGTTAAGGCAAGGGAAATAAATATACGTAAATAAATAACAAACCCTCCCCATTCATGAAAAGTAATGAATTAAATTTTTTTTTAAATTAATTTTGCATTCTATGTTTACGCCAACGAGTTCACTTTGTAACTAACTTATTTCGTAGAAAAACGTAGAACGTTCGACGTTAGCTTAGCTTAGGGACAAAATAATTTTTTCAAATAATTTTTAATAAATTTTAATAAATTTTTTGGTGCGACTTTTGACTTTTTTGCTTGTTCCAATTGGGATCCGACGTGACTTCACATTAGCCCCTTCTAACATTCTCTGTACTTACTATAAAATATTCTAGCTCCTGCTGTAATAAAAACAATCAATATCCTTTTTTGGAAGGACGTTGATATAATATGGCTTGCACGTTTTTTTAAGTTTTAATATTTCTGAAAATTCCCGAACTTTCTGAAAATCATTATAAATATTCCTATCAAAAAGTTCCTGGCGCTTTTAACCGAGTGCCGAGTTGGATAATCCGTAGCAGTAAAGTAAAAGTACGCCGGATTCACAACACAAACAGGAGTCAATATGCTACCTTCCTAGACATATCGTCAGCGGAATTTGTGCTTCGCGTGGGAACGTCATTTCCAGTGTCCTGTTATGTTCACTCTTCTCCCCTTAAGTTCAGCAGTGTCCTCACTGTTGCACTTTGAATGATTATCTTACATTTTTTTCTCGAAATGTAGATTTTGTAAGATAATAAGCTGAAGATTATGGCGAAAATGATAAAATTTGTTGCTAAACTAACAAACACCGTATTTATTCATATTTGATTTCTCTCAATTGTTCGGTATTAGTGATCTATATATAGCGAATCGACCCATTTCTGAAGAGGATGATGACTTGTGATGAAAATTGGAATGAAATTGAACTTTTCGGTGGAAATCAGTAAGAAAAAATTATGTGGCTTTTAGGCTGCTGCGCAAATTAAGGGGACTCACCGCTGTTACTGAGCAAAAACAAGGCAAAGTTTGACTATTGCTTATTATTTAAGATTTTAAAACGACAAAACGACATACTCTACAAATTTCAATTATCAATTTTTGTGCAAAATTAAAAATCGATTTTTTGATTCAAAATCAGGGGGGAGGGTTCCCTATTATTTATTTTATTTATTCTTAACCGTCACATCAGTTTAATTTTTTTTATTATTATTTTTTTATTCATCTTTGTTCCATTTCAATTAATAATAATATTTATCAATTCATTAAGGCAATTATATTTTTTATTAATTCACTTATTTCTTTATTTGTTTCCCAGTTTTTTTTATCATTTATTTAATTTACTGCAATTTTTAACGTAATTTAATTATTTTTTTATTTAGATTTTCCTTTATTTAATTTTTCTTTTTTTGGTTTTTTCTGAATTATTATTATTATATTACTGTATTTAATTCAATTTATTTTTTTAGTTCTATTTATTTATTATAATTTTATTTTCATTTAATTTAATTAAAATGAAATTAATTTATTTTTCTTATGTTGTTTGGGTTGCTCTAATTTAATTTTGTATAATTAACGTAAATGATTATATTACTTTATTTTATTATTGTATATTAGTATAGTTTTATTTTAATTGAATTTATTTATATTTTTACTGGCTCGGTTTCAAATCCCGGTGCCACCAGCATCCAAAAGTCATCGAAAAATAATTTAAATAAAAATCAAGCTAAATTTTCTAATTGCGGTCGCCCCTCCATGCATCGGACATGAAATGAAAAGACTCCTCATAAAAAACCATCAGCCATTCCATTTGTTGGAAAAAACATCAAGATGCAAAACCTTAAATTGGAGTAAAAGCTCGGCCGAAAAATCGCTTCAGCGGTTTATATATATATATTTTACGTTGTTTATTTTTTTCCAATGAATAAATTTATAATTTCATTAGTTTTATTTCAAATTTATGTTATATTATTTTAGTTTAATTTTAAAATTTCAGTTTATATATCTTTTTATTTTATTCTGGTTATTTTAATATTTTTTTATATTACATATATTCAAATTCTCAGTTTATTTGAGTGAAATTAAATTATTTTTGTTTTTTTGTTTTTTGTTTTATTTTATTTCTTTTAATTTCGGTTATTTTAATTTAATTTAGTATTGTATAATTTAATTTATATTATTATATTTATAATTTTGTATTTATATATAATTTAAATATATTGTGCTGCTTGATTTTAATAATTTTTTTCTTCAATGTAATTGTCTAATTTAATTAATTTAATTTCACTTTTTTGTAACATTTTCAAAAAATAACATATAAATAATAATAATAATATAATAATAGTTAATTTAATTTTGGTTGTTATTATTTAATTTAGTATAAATTAAATTATTTTAATATTTTATTGTATTTTCCTTAATTTTTTTATTTTTAGTTTGTTTTATGTTATTTGATTTTATTTTTCTTGTTGAAATTAATAGTTATTTGATTTAATTTGTAATTGTATTTTGATTTAATGTACTTTATCTAATTTTATTTAATTTTTTATTAGATTTAATTAATTAACATATTTTTTTTTATATTTATTATGTTTTCTATTTATTTTATATGTTTAATTTATTTTAATTTTTTTTTTAATTTAAATTTATTTTAATATTGTTTTACTTTTTTATTTTTATTTTTTTGAATCTATTATTTATTATTATATTTTAGTTCTATTTTGTGATATTTATATTTTATTTTAAATTAATTTATATTTATTATGTATTAGATTTAATTTAGTTTTTATTATTTATTAAAATTTAGGTTAATTACTTTAATTTAATTTAATGTTAATTGTTTTTTAATTATATAAAATTTTTAATATAATAAAATTTTACTCAATTTTATTTATAAGCATTTTTTCATCAATTTTCTTATCCCTTTTTTTAATTAATTTTTTTTTATTTATCTTATTACATGTTTATTTTTTTTTAATTTAGTTTATTTATTTTTTTTTTATAAATTTTATTTAAATAAAATTTTAATTGGGTTCGAAAGATATAAATATATATATATATGTACAACAACTTCTACCTGTCGACACGAGACCTCTGAAAAGACATTGCACTTGAAATTTGTATTCGCTAAACATTTACGTATACATACATACACTTGCATTCGAAAATATGTTGTATGTATATGCATATATAGGTAATCTCAAACTGACCTTCAAAATTCTTCGTCAGTTCTCACACTAAATCTCCCTCAATATATATTTTTGTTGAAACAGAAATAAAATAAAATTAAAATAAATGAAATCACAAGCAATGAATAATAAATGAAAAGATAAATAAATCACCAAAAATCCCCAAAACATCAACAGCAATTAATTGCTATCCTATCACGAATGCAACAACAAACACAAACTCCTGACTGTTGCAATGAATAGAAATGCAATAAAAAAATCATAAGAAATGCGATTAAAACGCAATTGAATATAATTTATTTAAAAAAAGCAATTAGTTGAATTTAGATATTCTAATGAATGGGTGTAAATGAGTATGGTCTGAATGAGAAATAGAAATAAAATCAAAATGAAATAAGCATGTGCTTTCATCAAAGCAGCTGAAAATGGCGTTGCCAACGATGTTTTTTCTTAGAATAAATAAAACAAAATTTTAGACACGTTTACATACCAATTACTAAACGCTGATAAATGTGATAATAGGTGTAAAAAAAGTTCAGTAGAAATAAGGTTTGCCTGAAATTGGCAGAATTTCTAAATTTTATAGATGAGAATTTGGTACAGTGTAATTCAAAGGCTTTGAAATTAAACTAAAAAAATTCTCAATGCTTCTTTATTGAGTAAAAAATTAAATTACTGCAAATCCTTCGAGCCGGATTTGAACCAGCGACCTATGGATATCTATGCTTTGGCAAATTCCTCTACAGTCCACCGCTCTACCAACTGAGCTATCGAAGGTGTTGCTCGAATCACGTCGAAAATAAAAACTGAAAACTTTTATAAAAAAAATAACGATCTTGCATTTTTGATTATGAATTTTAATTGCAAATACACACATATATGCACATACATATGCATAATTTTAATTAAATTGTTTAAAATGCGCATAGCGAGTGGCCTCAACAAAGATTGCCTTTCACTTTTGTAGCTCTCAGAAGTACATATATCGCTTAAATAGCAAAAATAGTGTATTTTTAAACCTTGCGGTGATAACAAAGAATGTTAATGTTATGATCATTATTATATTTGTATTCAACATTTATATTTTTTTATCAACTGTTATTTCTTTTATCAATTAATAATTTTTATTTTTTTTTTATTAATTTTCATTTTCTTGTTTTTTTTTAATTATTAATTTTTAACCAAATTATATTTTTTTAATGTTTTTTATTAGTTTTAATTTATTATATTATTTTAATTTTTTTAACAAGTTATATTTTTAAATTTTTTTTATTATTTTAAATTTCTTTAAGTTAAATTTTTTTTCAATTAAATTTTTTTTATTTTTAACTTTTTTAATAATTTTTCTTTTTATTTACTTTTAATTTTTATTAGGTTTTATTAGTGAAAATTTTTTTTGTTTTTTTATTTCTATTTTTATTTTAAATTTCTTTATTAATTTTTATTTTTTCTCTTTTAATTTTTATTAGGCTTTTTTAATTTTTATTCTTATTTATAATTTCTTTATTAATTTTTATTTGGTCTTATTTAACGTTTATATATTTTTTTACGCTTCCTCAGAGAACTTTTTGTATTACGGTGCATTTCATTTTGTTTTTGCTTAAAATAAATATTTCATATCCCCAATTTATTCGAGAACGAACCATTGTACAACGCTCCGTCCATGTCTAAGCGTGACGACTTAAATACCTATTTTAATGTTCGCGTTGCATTCTTATGACATGTAAGTTGCCCATGATATGTAAAATAACCACATATTCATTCATACATACATAGATAATTACATACATGCTCTAACGGTACGTCTGGCTTTTGTTTTTTAATTTTTCGATTTTTATATTATATAATGGCTCTTTTGCCTTCGTTGTGGCCATAACATTGCAAGCGAGTGCATTGTTTTTGCAAAAGCTACCCTTTACTCATTACACAGGTGAGAGTGAGAAGTGGAGAAACAATTATTTAAGGGTAATTCACAATAGAATTGCCAGAGCGACGACAATGACACTGCATTTTGCCGAACAGTAAGGGGAACGAGTGCGAGTAGCGAGTACGCACTAGTTGACATCAAATAATTATCATTGTGTGCTTAATACGCCCATAACGTCAAATATGAGGTTCGGCAGCAGTAGTTTTCTTTTCATTTCAACGCCTATTTAATGAAATCTTCCACCCACACAAATGCATAGCATATTTCGCGAAATATTTATGAAGTCTACTCAACAATGACGTTAAACGAATCCTCATGGACTTGACCTTTTCTACAGCGTAAATCGCGTGTGTTGCAATCAAAGCAGGCGGGCGGCCATGTAATGTTGTAAGGCAAAAAAAAAAAAAATTCAAAAAAGAAATGTAAAAATAACGACAAAAATGGCATAAATGTGAGCGCACGCCCATTGTTACATACAAATATACAATGTATATAGGGGCGGCAAACAACAATTAAGGCTGATGGGCATGTAAAGCTGGCAAACAATTCACAAAGCGAAAAAATGTGAAAAAAATGCAAAGCAAATGAAATATTCAATGTAAAGCGGAAGTGGAAAAAAATACAAAAATAGGGAAAAAAATAAAAATATAGCGAAAGTAAAATACAAAGTGAAAAGCAAATAAAAAATCCGTTAGCATGCATTTTTGCTTGAAGCAAAACAATGCAAAACTGAATTGTTGCCAGTAAACGGCAAAATATCCACTTTTGCATGCAAAGATCCAAAAAAAAAGCAAAAAAAAAAGAAATTGTGAAAATGTCTGTAGAGACTGCACTCTGTGTTCAGTGCTTGCTCCTCACCTTAAAAAAACAATGCTGAAATATGTAGTATAGGAAAAAAGTGAAAATAGTATAAAACAATGGAGAAATTCTCTGCTATTGCAAAAATGTTGAAAATTCGTAACAATGAGTCATTTGAAGATGCACACTTGACTTCCGTGGAAATTGTGTGAAATCTTTCTTCTTTTTTTTATACCCACTGGAGCATGCTCAAAGGATTTTGTTGTAGAAAAGTGTAAAAGCTTAACGCACAGTAATAGCCTCGGTGGCAATCTGAAGGAAGAAATAGCAAAATGATACACTATTTGACTTGTCTAAACTTGCGGTTATTTCAACGTTAGGGTGGATAATAGAAATGTATCTTTGGCGCAACAGTTAACTTATCCCAAAGAGTTGGTTCCGGCGGCTCAATATGAAGAACATGTAACGAAAAAGACATTGCCTTGATAGGCGGACACGAGTAATGTTAGAAAAAGCTAATTATAAATGCAGCGATTTCCATAAGATTTCAACACAGGAGCATATTAATGTACGACTCAAAGAGGTGATGGTTATCTAGCGTCTGATCCCCCAACTATACAACGTTTATGAAAGGAAAATTTCTACGGCTAATTCAGAATGGACATTCCATCACCCAAGCATAATGAAGCTCGAATAGTAGTGGTGTCTCCAATTTGTACCGAGCGGTGAAAATATGAAACGACTGCTCAAAGACGCTGTGGACGCTAAAAAATTCGGTCAAATCGAATGTTCGCCATGAATCAATCTCATTTCATGAGCTCGTATACCCTACTAAAGTGTAGATTCTCTAATCTTATAACCGATTTCTATCTAACGTATAAGAATTTGCTGAAACCCCACTTATTCCTCTTTACCTTTTGCTTACTGCGATAGATAAATATTTTTCTTTCTGCCAACCACGTACGCAGCTTTCTCGACACCATCACACATTGCGTCTGTGACTCCTTAGTCGCGGACTTTCCTTTAGCTCTCTTTTTAATATTCAGTGGTTTAGACCACACTTTTCTACAATCTTGCTTCGATTCATCTGTACCACCTTCCGCCGAATGAAATGCGCGTTCATCAGATTCATTAGTATTCAAGTTACAACCCGGTGAGCGTACTGCTAAACTCTCTCTCGATGTGCCATCATGTGCATCTTGGAAGATCTCTTCGAAGATACATTCTTTTCTCATAATACCATCACCAGCTGCCGCGCCACCACCCTGTATGCGACGCGTTTCTGAGTTATTCGCCGTTTCGACACTAACCGTACTCTTCTTTTTCGCACTCTTCTTATCGGTACGCTTCTGTTTGGTACGTTTATAACGCATAAAGCAACGGAATTTCTTTTGGAATAACGGTTGAAAGTAAATGCGATCGAGTTCACGCATAACACGACGCATACAATTTAATTTGTGCTATGCAAGAGGGAAAGGAAAGGTGATAGAGACAGGATGAATGGATAAGGATATGGAAAGGATTCGGAAGTGTGCAAAACTACCTTTGTTTGGTACGTACCCGTCGATGCTGTGCCTCGGCCTCGGGCGTAGATGGCGGTGCTCTGCTCAGTGCACAGCATGGTCCCTCCAAATCGGAAAAACTCGAACCGCGTCCATCATTCTCCGAACTAGACACACCACCTTCATCGCTTTGTCGTTTTAAGGGAATTTCATTTTTAATAGTGATTAAATCATTTTATTTTTATTCAAACGAATTGCTCACCTTGAGTAATCGGAGAGTGGTATATTGAGTGGTTCATCGGCGTTGGAACCTTCTTTCAGCAGGCGCTCAATGATTTTCAAACGCAAACGCTCCTGTTGGTAGACAGATTCATTGACATTATTAAAATATACCAAAATAAAAAAAAAATAAGAAAGAATTATTGCACATCCTTAGGTCCGAAGAAAGGTTGAATGCAATACATACATAGATTTATAAAAATAAATGTTAATTTGGCAAAACCGGAAAAGCGTTTCGAAGGTGCAAAAATTATCAAAGTAAAAAATATTTAATTCAAAATAAATTTTAATTAAATAAATATGTTTCTTTGGTATTTAAAAACTCGCAACCGAATCAATTCACTGTAGAGTTGGCATAAAACAAAGAAGCTCATTGTAAGACTTCCACAAGAGCTTACGAGAAAAAACCTCAAGAACCGAATTTCCAATTTTCACCAACCCAAATCGATCGTGATCTCCAAGCCAAGATTGACGGTCAGGATGGTTTTGTTGTCTGTTTGATGGGATTCCTAAGTAAGCATCCACTATGGCCAAACTTTTAATACCTCCCTCTAAAGGGAGCAAACGCCAAGAAGCGCTCAGCTGTGACCAACAGTAGGTTCCAAGAGGACAACGCCAGACCACAAACATCGCTACTGACTCGCCAGAAGCTCTGAGAGCTTTTTACTTGACCTAGTACTTACACACATAGAAAGGAAAGCATATCTATCTAAAAATCGATTCAGAAAAAAAAGAAAATATTTAAAAATATTTCTGAACTGCACCCTTCATGGAATGCGTCTCCAACAACCTATGGTGAAACCGTGGAGTCTGTCCAAGGGAATATTATAATTCTTCTTGAGCTGATCACTGTCTCGGCAACAATATATACCTTCAAAGAGAATTACTCCCCCCACATGATTTTGCGGAATTTAAGTAAGCTACTTCGAGAATAGTATCAGAGACCTTCCGCCATCAGTCTCGTGGGCAGCGCAAACTGGACTGTCACTGGTTATCGGTCTCTGGTCTCTTGGAGCTTTCGAGTACCCTTCGGTCGGTTGGGCAGGAGGCTCGTAATGCTGGGGTCCGTCGTTAAAAAATATGTGCTACCTTAAAAAAAATGATGAAAGCATGGCGAATATGGTATAATTCTTCAAAAGGTATAAATCTCTAACGAGAAGTACGGATATCACTCTCTCTCCCAAAAAGCGAACTTAAGTAGAGCCAAAACTTGGCAGAAAGGACAATGAAAAATATTACGGCATCTGGCAAAAGATGGGGTCCGACGAAGCTTATTCACCACTGTATACATACAGCGATAGTCAGACCAAGCGCTTGCTGTGGCGACATTTTTTGATAGCCGCCGCTAGATCAAATCACTTTCAGGAGGAAACTAAACAGATTTCCGTGGTACAACAGAAGGAGTTGTATTGCATAACCTCTAAATTATGTATTGAGTATTTTTTTCCACAAGATTTCCTAACAGAAACGAATGGAAACATTTAAAAGTTTTAGCTCAAGGAGGAGCATCTTTTACCATTTTTACAGACAACACAAGGCTCAATGACAGAGTTAAATGCGGGATCTCCACTCCCCCCGTAAATATCTTTTTAATTTTAGCATGATACTAATGAATCACTGCAGGGTTGTCCAAGTAGTACTTAATGCTTAACGGAAGCTGTGGAATGGCGGATTAAATCTAGAAAATTTAGGTTAACCATCGAAGCTATTGCTAGCAGCCACATTCCCTCAACTCAACGCTTCCACCCATCTCACTTCCAATACTGAGTTCTTTTTTCACTTTTTTCCACTCAATAAAATATAAAAATAATATAAGGAGAGTGAATGCAAAAAAAAAAAATAATAATAATTGTTATCTGAAACTTTAAAAAATTCGTTGAAAAGGATTTAATAACTGTTAGGTCCACAAGTGTCAAATTCCAATTGAACTGCGGTAATACGCATAAATGGAATAAATTTGCTAAAATTGCACTACGGTACTATTTACTCAATTTAAATGCTGGAATATACAAAAGAAGAAGAGGAAAATTATAATAAAACTACAAACAATTTATAAAAACTTAAAATTTATTAATTAAATTATTTTTTTTTTTCACTTCTGCTAATACAAATTGACATTACAAACAAAAGCATTTACATATATACATATATGTATATCTAGTATGTATGTAAAAGAAAGTAAACTATTTAAATTAACTAAATAAATAAAATAAAATAAATACAAAAGTATATTTGTAAAACAAAATTTTTTTTTTGTGTTTTTGTAAAATCACTTAAATCAATTGTAGTTTTGTAAATAATATACTTTATACATACATAACAAATGTGTGCAATTTATTACAATAATAAAAAGGTAAAAAAAGCCCAATTCCGCTCAATATTTATTTTTGTGTTTTTTAATTTTTATATATTTTTTGTTTTAAATTCATGTTGCACAACTAAATATCGACAGCGTAAAGTTCACTTCAATTTCTAAACTACACTTGCTATATATATATAAGTGCTTCAGTATGTGCGTATGTGTGTGTGTTTTGTAATAGTATGTGGATTTGAAAATAATATCTTTTATTTTGCGTATGTATGCGCGTATTTGAATTTTACGGTGTATGTATGAAAGCTTGTAATTAAATTGTTAAATATATATATAAAATAAGCTTAAGTTAAGCAGCTTTGCATTTGCTTTTGCTCTTGATGAGAAAGCGTGTTAAGATAGCATTTTCTTGTAAGTTAAAAAATTGATCAAAATGGCGCAAACGGAGTTTCATTTGAAATGAAATATTTAATTTTTTTTTTTTAAATCCCTTTTGTATAACTGTTGGGTAGCTCAAAGTTAGTTTGGAAAGGAAAACGAACAAAACAGAAGACATTTTTTGTTTAGCGGGGAAAATATGTTTTCTAAGAACTTACTTATGTTACTAAATACTGCGCTGTTAGTTTAAAATTAATTTATTTGTTGTTTTTTTTTATTGCTTAGTAAAAGTTTGAAATTTTTTTTTTATTCTTTATTTGCTTACTTTCGTGGGTAAAATTTTTTTTAATTATGTGTTATTTTGTTTTTAGTTAAATTTTTTTGTCTTAATGATTTTTCGTTTCTTGTTGCGACTTAAAATGTCTATTTTTTCTAGTTTTTCTCCACGAGTGTCATCTATGCGACGTCACAGTAGATCTACATTGTCGAAACTGTACTTTGAGTTGTTGTGTTTTTAGTTTTTAATTATTTGATTAATATAATATTAATGTATATATTTTTTGGTATTTTTATAAGTAGACAATTTTTCTGAAAAAAGGCAGTAAGCTATACAAAATATATATTTTCAACATTTAGCAAGCTAAATGTATAAATTTACAGTAATAATAAAGAATTACGATTATCAAAGACAAAATGAAAAATGAGAGAAATAAATTAAAAAGAAAAAAGATTAAAAAAATAATAAAAAAGTAAAAAAAAAAAAATAATAAAAAAATAATAAAAAAATAATAAAAAAATAATAAAAAAATAATAATAAAAAAAATTAAAAAAAATAAAAAAAATTATAAAAAACAAAAAAACCTACCAAAGAGGAGCAGAAACAAAAAAAAAAAAAATTAATTTAAAAAAACAGCAAAACAAATAAAAACGAATAAACTGAAAAAATAAACAAAACTCAAAACAAAAAAATAAAATAAAAAAAAAAACAAGGCAAACAAGCGAATCGAAAACAAAAAGAAAAAACTAAAAAAACACAAAAAATTTAAATCTTAAGAAAAAAAAAGCAAAAAACTTCGAAAACATGAAATAAAAAAATAAGAACCAATGAAAAAAAAGTTGTAAAATTAATAAATATAAATAATAATAAAAATAAATAAATTTAAAAATAGCACAATAAAGCAAGAAGAAAACAAAGCAACAAAAAATAAATAAAACAATAAAAAAAAAAACAAATAATTAATAATTAAAATATAAATGAGAAAATATAAAAATAAATAAATTTAAAAACAGCACAGTAAAGCAAGAAGAAAACAAAGAAAAAAACAGAAAACTAAAAAATGAAAGAAAGAACTGAAACAAAAATCACCAGAAAAAATGTAAAAATAACAACACAAAACAAAAATGAAAAAAAGCTCAAAACAAAGCTTGAATGAAAAAAAACAGAGCAAAAACAAACAAAAACAAAACAAGAATAAAACCAAAAACAAGAAAAAATAATTAGAAATAAAATAAAATAGAAACAAACAAAAACAAGAAAAAAAAACAAAAACAATAAAAAAAACAAGGACAAATAAAAACAGAAACAGGAAAAAAATAAAAACAAGAAATAACAAAAACAAAAAAAAAACAAAAAGAAGAAAAAATAAAAACAAAAAAAAAACAAAAGCAAGACAAAAACAGAAATAAGAAAAAACCAAAGCAAGAAAAAAATCAAATACAGAAAAAACAAAAACAAGAAAAAAACAAAAGCAAGAAAAAACAAAGACAAGAATAAATCAAAGAAAGAAAGAAAAACAAAAACAAGTTTTTACAAAAAATATAAAACAGAAAACGCAAAAAAAAATAGTAATTAACCGAAAACAAATAAAACAACAAAAGCATAAAAAATAACAAACATATAAAGAAAAAACAAAAAAAAACTGAAAAATATGAAAATAAAAACACAAAGAAAACAAAACAAGGACAAGAAAAAAAAACAAACACAAAACAGAAACATCAAAACCCAATCGAAAATATAACAATAAACAAAATAAAAAAGAAAGCAAAAAAAAAAACAATAGAACTAAAGAGAAAAATCAAAATAAAAAACTGAAAAAAAAACAAAAGGGAAACCAAAATATAAATACAAAAAAAGGGGAAAAATGAAAACAAGACTGACAATACTCACAAAATTAAACGTCACATTATTGTGACAACTAGGCCCGCATAAAGTTATTCCACAGAAAATAAAATAATAAGTTTTTAAAGTACCGTTTAAACATATTTTGGTATGCTTTTAGGCGCAGCAAAACCTCAATAATGAGGCGTTGAGTTTTTTGTATGATCAGTGGCTTACAGGCACTAAAAAAAACTAAAATTAAGATTTTAAAAACTTAAACAGAGATTAAAATACACATACATAAATTACGAATATAAAACAAACAAAAATTACAAATATTATACACATACTGCAAAATACTAGAAATCTGGCAGCAAATGACAACACTTCCTTCTTTTTCTACTTAAAAAAAACTTTTATACCATTTCTTGGCGCTTGCTTTTTGGCACTTATTTTTTGCAATTTTTTGTTGTAACTAATTATTTAATATTATTATTATTATTTTTTTAATTTCCCCCCACCTACGTTCGCCCTTAGGAAACACTCTTCCCCGTACGTTTAACCTTAAGTTTCTCATCAATTATACATCCCTGTTCGGCCATTTTCTTCAATTTCAATGCTTTCTTCTCACGTTTCTCACGTTTTCTTATCTTTTTAATTTGTTTCATATGTTTAGCCATTTTCTTTACTTTATTTGGTGTATCATCGCCATAATCGAGCAGCGTTTCACAAAAAGCGCGTCCCATGTGCTCATAATCCTGTGTGGGAAAAAGAAAATAAATAAATAAATAAAAAAAGAGAAATTTATTTGAAATTGCATAATATTTTAAATATATAAAATATGTCAAACTATTTTTCTTTTTTTTCCAATTCAACAATAAATTAAAAAAAATATATTTATATCTTCAGGAAAACTTAAAGCAAATATTTTTGTAAGCTTTTTTCATTTTTTGCATGAAAAGTATAATATTACATGCTTTAAGTCCACTTTCATGTACAAACAAGAAAGTTTGTCCTTTCGAAAAGAGTCGTTTGCTATTTCAAATACTTTAAAAGCTTTACAATATCTTACTTTAATTACTTTCAGTTTTACTTTGACAATTTCGTACAAGTTTTTCATTAGTTGCAGACTGTGTGTCTTCACGCTCTCTCTCTCTCTCTCTCGCTCTCTGTATTGCTCTCTCTCTCTTTCTGATTGTTTTTACCCAGAATATTCATTTCCAAGTAAACATGAAATCTTAAATGCATACAGACTCATATTGGTTCCTATGTATTATGTATATATTGGTGGACATGTTTGTGTGTTTGTATGCAAGCACATTTAAATTGGCAGTGAAACTTAAGCCATTAGTACTTTTACGCATCAGCTACACTTTCTCTTGGTCTTCCTTCGTTTTAGTGTTTCTAAGCATCAAAGTCTTGCATTTATTTCAATGTATGTATGTATGTAAGTACATATATGTGGTTGATTCTATGTATTTCCCTCATTCGCTTTGAGCTCATTCTAACGACTTACTGTATGTTTGCTTGTATAATTGTTGTTGTATACAGTAGTATAAGCCGATTATGTCCTAAGCTGACCAAACCACACAACAACAGTACATCCTGCATCTTAGATATGTATATATCTAAGTGTGGGCCCGCCTAAATATTATACTACTTTAAATTATACTAGTTTCGAAACTAGTTTGTATTGGGGGTGTTTCAGAAATGGATTTAGTTCAAGCTCACTTCAATTCACGTCTATACCAGCGCCAGTTAGCTCTGCTAATACTTTCTTGAATTATTCAAATTGAAACTCGAAAGACGCTTTTCGACGTAATATAAGAGTAGATTGAAGAAGCAGAAGAAAATTTACTTTGTTCGTAGTAAAGAATCTAGTTTTGTTCGCCCGATGATTAGAGAGGTGAAGGCTTTCTTCACGTTAGAAAGAAATTGTAAAGAAGAGTAGGTTGTCTTGCAAAAAGTTTCCTGTAGAACTGAAGCTAATACTAGTCAGTGCTTTGTTTCGCAATCTATTTTTAATACTTCAGAATAAAGGATGAAAAAAGGCGTTTTGTTTTGCAGAGCACCTCTCTACAGTATTCCAACCAAATACTGCTTTGTCTGCTTTGTCACCGAACCATACTGTTCCTACTTATACTGTTACTTGCGGAGCATCTGTGTCTGAAATAAAAAAAAAAACATTATAACCGCCTTAGACCCAAAAAAAAATCTCCCGGGAACGATCATATCTCAACAAAAATTCTCTTGTCTTTCTTGCAAAGCTTTTTAGTATCATTTGTAACCGCTTAAGCGATTTTCGGTCAAGTTTGTGGTTTTGCGTCTTGATGTTTTTCCAACAAATGGAGCGACCTACAGTTTACAATAAGCCGCCTCCGAACGGCCGATGCTGATGCTAGGATATTATTCACAAATATGGAAAAAGTCGCAGATAATTATGATAGCTCAACCAGGTAAAGACATAACCCTGCCGTCATCATATATACCAATCAGCCTATCCAAACTTTTCGAAAAAAGGCTGCTATCAAAAATTACTCCTTTTCTCCATCAAAATGATATTATTCCTACACATCAATTTGGTTTATGGGAAACACACGACACAATTGAACAAGTAAATCGTATAACAAATGAAATTAGAAAAGCTTTCGAATTCAGAGAGTATTGTTCCGTCGTTTTTCTTGATGTGGCGCAAGCATCTTGCAAAGTGTGGCATGATGGACCCATTTATAAAATTAAAAAATCATTACCTAACACTTTCCACAATATAAATTCTACTTATCCAACAGATGATGCACAGTAAAAGTAAATGATTGCATAATAGAAGAGTATCCAATCACGGCAGGAATTCCGCAAGGTACTGTTCTTGGACCAATATTGTATATTTTGTTCACCAAGTGACAAAGTAATGACGTCAACTTTTGCGGATGATACTACTATACTAAGTCGACATAAATGCCCCAATATAGCCACAAAAGTCCCAAAGCAGCACCTAAAACCAATTGAAGAATGGCTAGCAAAATGGCACATAAAAATTAAAGAAATTAAGTGCGAAAACATCACTTTTACATTAAGGTCCCATCGTCAAGCTCTACAATTTGCCTATCGCACAAGCTAACGAAATCACATACTTTGGCATTCATTTGGATAGAAGACGACTAACTTGGAAGCGACACATTTCGGCCAAAACGATGCAGCTGAAGCTTAAATTTTCCAGTTTCTATTGGGTTTTAAGCAAGAAATCTGGACTCAGCATTGAAAACAAAGTCCTTCTTTATAACGCGAATATAAAACCGATATGGGCATATAGAATATAGTTTGCGCGACCGAAACATACGCACAATCTAGGAAGAGATTTAAATCGTTACACAGAAGTACAAAGCAAAACTGCACCATCTGCCGAACCTTTTGGCCAAAGGCCTTGGCCTCCGCAACAAGTCAAACGCGCCTGAGCAGAAAGGGACTTACTACCCATGAGCAGAGCGACATTGAGCGAGCAGCCCATTCCTATCTAATTAATTAAGTTTTTAAGATCTGACAACTTATTGTGAGGCTCCCGATAAAGAAGCAGATTAAATAATTAAATACAAATGTTAAAAAAAGTATAAAGGTGAAAAATTAAAAGTTTTCGAAAGCGTCAAATAAACAAAACTTAGACGATTCACTGTGTGATTATGTGCAGTGAAAAAAGTTTTCATTTTCATTTTCACAACTAATTTTCACTTTATATCCTAACAATCCACATCTTTGAAATTCACGCCATTTTCGCAAAAAAAAAAAAAATATTACCGTAAAAATGTAATATCATAATATATAGTTTCAAAAACAACAACAACAAGAGAAAAATGGTTTGTGAAAGGGTGAAGCATATGTGAAATTATTTTTATATTAAACTTTTTTTTCATTCATCCACCGTACTCTAATCAAAAAACAAATTCATTTATTTCAGATGAAAATACATAAACATTTATTTTCACATGAAAATTAGTGTCAATATTTTTTCCGAACAAAAACTTCGATTTCATTTCAATTTCGTATATGTCAAAATACTCTTACAATTTTCACTTAAAATTATTTATAATTTTTTCTACTAAATGCCAGTCATTAAATTATTTTGTGAAATAGAGAAATGTTTTTCATTTAATTTTTTCATGTGGAAAAACATTTTAAAATTTAAATTTATTTTATTAATTTCCAATAGGTCATTGATGTCACTGTTTCTCAGAACAAAACGTTCGATTTGTGAAAAGGTGTATTTTTTTTATTTAATTCTGTTGTTTGTCAAATGTTTGTGACGTTTTTTTCTTTTTACCCGAGAGTAGTTTGTGAAATAAAGCTTTTCCTTTACATTTTTTAATGTGAAGTTATTTTTGGCATATTTTTTCTAGATCATTGATTTCGCTGTTTCTCGGAATAAAAAAATTTCTGTTTGTATACATTAATTCGTGCTCTCAGAGAGGGCTCTACAATTGCAATTTCAACTTGGACGACAGACAGCCAAAAAAAATTTCAAAATAACGAACTAGAAACATTGCTCGACGCAGATGCATGCCAGGCGAAAGAAGAACTTGAAAAAGTATTAGGAGTTGATCAAACAACCGTTTCCAGACGATTAAAATCATTTTTTCACAATATAGTCTTAATTTTCAAAAAAAAAAAAATTATAAAACCCAATTAATGCTGGGGTATGCATATATGGAATATTTTTCGTCTAATGTAGACTAATCAAAAGTGGTTTTGGAAAGCTGAAAAATCTTCTCATGTGAAAATACTTTTCACTTGTATTTTCATTTATTCGTGAAAATTGATTTTACTGCTTCTTAGATAATAAATTTTAAACGAAAATATTAATTTTTTCTTCCATTTTTATTTCAGTATTCAACTGCACGAGAATGATAAGCTTTTACTTTCCATTGTTAGTCTAATTATTAAACTTTTTAGTTGGTTAATTGAAATCTTCTCATAAAACTAATAATTTGAATTTTAAACAAAAAACATATGAAAACGTTTTGAGGATTTTTTAAATTTTTTTCACTGAAAAATAATTAAAACTACTAAGAAACATTAAACTTATTTTTATTTAATCCTTTCACGGTACAAGGAAGAGTTGCTGGTGATCTCGCTTTGCATCAGTCTTTCTACTTCTTTTCTATTTAAAGTCTGCTTAATAAACGTTTATATTGTTTCATTGAAATTTACTCAAAAAACTATGGAGTTCTAGGGGAAAAACAACGATTTGTGAAAAGGTGAAAACAATTTTTCAATCCAGTTTTTCATGTGATAAGTTTTTTTCAATCCATTTTTCACGTGAATTTCTTTTGTTACTTTTTTAATTTTTTTCTCACTAAATAATAATGAAAATTGCGGTGAAATATTAAAAATATTTTGATAAGACCATTTGATAGCGAGTATGAGCTGGGAGGTGATCTCTCTTTGCTTTGCTCTGCCAGCCTTTATGCTTCTCTACTATCCTTTGAAAATCTACTTAATAAACATTTTTTGTTAGTTAATTGAAATTTTCTAACTAAACTTGAAATATTACAGTGCAATTTTCAAATAAATTCGTAAACACCAGAGACTAACACTCAAGAGATTTCATCTTAATTCACATTCGTATTCACAAAACTATAATCACCTTTATTTGAAAACCACAAAATAATGTGTATTCAATGAGAAATACCACAAATTGTTGCAAGATAGGTTAAAGGAAGTCATATATACACATATTTGTATATATCTACGAGTTTATTTGTGCATACATATATGTATATACATATATTTATAACACCGACCATGTGCGCCAGTTATTGTGCATTACATACAGTTATGATCATCACAGTATTTTTATTATCAATTTCCGCACGACTTGCACGACATTATCTGTATGAGGCATGTTGCTGTCATCAGCAAAATCAATAACCACAGTAGCAGCAACAGCAACAGCAACAGCAACAATAATAATTTCAATAACAATTTTGAACAACAAAGGAAATGACATAAGGGTGCACAACACATATTATATAGGTATATATATATATATATATATATATAGTAATAGATGATGCTGGCATTTGATGTGCTCCCCTAAGACATTTCTGGCATATGAATTTAACATACATACGTACATTCATCTAAACTTATGTGCGCATATATGTATTCTGAATATATACTACCTACGAGTATGTGCGTTTTATCATCTTTAATGAATTTTTCATTGCATCATTGATGTAAGAGCTAATTTATGTACATATATACTCACACTGAAATTCACGTTTGAGTGTCGTTCACTGTATACGTGTATGTATTAAGTCCATTTCTGTGATTTTATTAGATTATTTTTTATATTTTTTGCTTCAAGCGTCAACCTTTTCTTTACATCAAGTATTTTTTTTTCTTTTTTTCCTCTCAATATTGTTGTTTTTGCTTAGCCGATAGCTACATTTCCTCCCTTTATTTATTATTCTAATATGCTTGTATTTTTCTCTCAAGCTGTTATTACTTGTCTATCGTCGTATCTATGCATCTATCAATAACAGGGTGTAAGCAATGCTTGACAAGTTGCTGTGCTACATACAACAAGTACAATACAAGTAGTACAAGCACATCCAATATTCATCATACGCCATGACGTCCCACATGCCAGTGAGCGAGTTTGGCATGGATGATATTGCTACAAAATATATATGTACATACATTTTTTTTATATAATTTTATTTTTTAGTTTTCGTGGAAATATGCTGGTTGTTATTTCATTAATGTTTTTCATCTTTTTTGTTTACTTTTTATATATTTTCAGTGAGGTCATCACGAGGTGAGTGTACCAAACTGTCAAGTGAATGCATCGATGCACCCAGAGATGTTTTTTGATTGGCGTAAGTGGTTATTTGTAGTTTATGTATAATAATATTTATGTACTTTGTACTGTACAGTTTTATCGATGGTTCGGAATCTCTTAAAAACGTTGCGGTATTAAAATAATACCGAAAAACCAATTAAAAAATTAATAAATAAAAATAAATAAAATATCAGGATAAAAACCACAAATAATTAAAAGTGGTAAAAAGATAAAAAACAACTGAATAATTAATAAAAAAAATTAAATTTTAGTGTTTTTTAATAATTTAAAAAAAATTAGAAATTATTTAATCAAAAGATAATATACATATGTAATAAATAAAACAACATTAAAATGTGATTAAAAATAATTATTAAAAAAGATAAAAACTAATTATAAGGAAAAAGTTAAGAAATTGTAATCGCTAAAGAATTAAAGAATATTAAAAAAATTGAAATATAATTAAAAACTTCAAATTAAAAAGACAAAAATGAAGAATGAAAAAATTTTAAAAATTTTAAAATTTAAAAAGAAAAGAATTTTAATATCTAAAAATAATAACTTAAAAGATAATAAAAATACCATAAAAAATTACAAATAGAAATGAAAAAGCTAAAAATATAAAAAATAATAACTGAAAATTTTTTAATAAAATAATAAATAATTAAAAAATAATAATAAGTAATAAAACATAGTACGAACCTTATTAAAAAATAATAATAAATGAAATAATAACGAATTAGTTGAATTCAGAATAAATTAATTTAAAAAAAATAATTGCACAGTTAAAATATAAAAAAACTTAACCAATTAAAAAATACTTAAAAAGTAATTACAACATTTCAAAAATAGTCAAAAGAACATTTATGAAAGTAATTAAAAAAAATTGTTAAAACAAATCGTAAAAATTAATGAATGAAGTTTAATATTTAATATTGATTGAAAAATGATTTAATAACGCAATTAAAAAATAATATGATAAAAATAGAAATAAGTAGAAAAAAATTGAATTTAATTTAAAAAAATTAAAAAAATAAAAAAAAATGGAAAATAATAATAAGAAAATAATAGTAGTTACCCGATTGTATGAATATTAAAAAAAATAGTTAAAACTTAACTTAACTTAAAAATTCTTAGCACTAATTATAAAAATTTAAATAAATAAATAGAAAAAATTAGAATTATAAAAAAATGGAAAATAATAATGAGAAAATAATATATATTCAAAATAATTAACAGATTATAGAAATAATAGAAAATAATAATTGAAACTAAACTTAACTTAAAAAATCATAAAACTAATTGAAAAAGTTAAAAATTTATAAAAAAAATAACTTACAAAAAAAAAGTTTATAAAATAATAATTGAACGGTGAAAATAAATAATTAAAAGCATATTAAAAAATAATTTAATATAATTGAAAAACATAAAAATTATATTTGGAAAATAATTAAAAAGGTAAACAAATTTGATATAATTGCAAAAAAATAATTTGAAATAAATTAATTGACAACTCAAAGCAATTAAAAAATAGTTGAAAAAAATAATTAAAATATTTTTAGGATAATTAAAAAGAATAAAATTTAAAAAGTAATTGAAAATAATTAAAAAAAATAAAAACTAATTCAGAAATAGTAGTTGAAAAAGGAATTTGAGCTAAATAAATAAAAAAAAAACAATAAAAAATAATAATTTGAGAAACTATAAGCAAAGGCGTAAGAATCAGTTGGAAATGAAATTGATATGATGCGAAAATGTTGCCTACATTTCGGCACATAGGTCTATATAGATTTTGGCGCATTGCAAACGCTGTAGCGACTTTCGCTCGAGTTCCTCCAATTCGTGGTACACGTCTTACGTCATTTCCAACAAATGGATGGAATTAATTTTAAGCCACCTCCGAATGGCCAAGAAATTTTTATGAGGAACTTTTGTTTCATGTCAGAAATATATTTGGTGTGCTTGACACTCCGTGCCGAGGGGCCAATGCAATTAGAAAAATTACATTTCTATAATTATGTTGGTTGGTCGCACCAAGACTCGAATCCTGGCCTATCTAATTTTTCTCAGCTGAATTCAAAATAAAAAAATTGCTTTTCAAAATACAAAAATTTTTTACTTTGTGCTTTGGATAATAATTTACTAAAACGATTATATAATAAAGATTTTCGTAATTTCTACAATCTTATCTACTTCACTGCAAACACAACAATTTCATGTTAATCAACTTACCGCCGTATTAAAGTGTGTACCCTTGCGTGAGCCCAGCGATGAGCCGCCAAAGGATGCCTCAATTGTATAACTGTTTGTGATGCCCAGCATCCAAACCACAATGCGGCCAGTGCCCTCCTTACTGCGTTGCACTTTAAATTTACAGCTTTCAAAGGAGAACTGCGAAGAGAAAATGTGAAAGGCATAAAAAAGAGTCAAAAATAAAAATAGTGAAACGAAAGTAAATGAAAAGAAGCACGGTAAAAATAAAAGTAGCACAAAAAATTAGACAAAAAAAAAAAAATCAACGTAAAAAATAAAAAGCATAGAAAATATGGCAACAAAAAAATGTAATGTGGCAAAATCCTAAACTGGGTTATGTTGCATTAAAGGCGAACATGAAAAGGACTACAGACATACAACAGTACATAGAAATTACAAAAGTAGCAGTATAAGTTTACGCGTCTATTTATCTGCTCTTTTGGAGCGTGAAATGCGTATTTCTGTGTGTATTCTAACTTAAGTCTGCCCATCTGCCTACTGGCTACTCACTCACCTTATCAGCCACATTCTTGTGCAACATCAACGGAAATACTTGTTCCGTAAGCTTCTTCTCCGGATTACGTTTATTCTCACAGCCATAAACGAAAATATTATGTTTACGCGAATGGGCGTGCATATCACAGTATAAGACAACTTTGTATTCATCAATCAGTCTTTCGTTGGGTGGGGTGGACGGTTGAGGCAAATGTCGATTATGAAAAGAGAGAGAGTGAAAAAATGGTGAAAAAAAGAAAATATTTTTTTTCTTCTTATGTTTCTTTATTGAAATTTTCTAAGAATTTCCCGCATTTTCTATTATGTATTCATAATGATAAGCATTTTTCTTGTTTCGCTTGTGTTTTGTTGAAAGTCAATTCGCTTACCTTTTAACCATGGCTTTCGTATACCAAATGGATGGATATGTTTCCCGTATAACGGTACGATATTGTCGATTTAGATCTTTACCCGTCAACGAGTTGCGTGTATTGCCTACAATTACCCCATCCGGATTGAGCATTGGTATTAGTTTGAATATGAAGCGATGGCGTAGTCTCTTCGCGGCCAACGTATCGCCGGTAATGAAATCCATTAGGCCCTTCATCATCCACGAAGCGGGCGTTTCGCTGGGATGTACACGCGCTGAGACGACGATGGCTTTCTTTTTCTGCAAAAATGAGTATTGAAAATTCCATTAATATAATTAAAAATTGTTAGCCAAAAAAATTTTGAAAATTCACATCCTTATTCTAAGAACCTCATGAAATGTAGTCGTCTCGTTTCACTTTGATATTATAATCAACGTACTTTCAGGCTCACGGCAGATTTTACTAGCATATGTCGGAATATGTTCTAATATTTAAAAATTAAAAAAATATATTATTGCCTACATTTAGGCAGCTCATTTCCAAAATTCAGAAAATACTATAAGCAAAAAATGGGATATTAAATTTGAACCGAAGTAGGTAAGTACCAGAAATTTATGGCGATCCAAATGCTGAGCTGAGTCGATTTAGCCATATTCATCTGTCTTGCCAAAAATGGTTAGCATAGGTTCAATAGACTTACCTCTCACATAACAGAGCTTCTGTGGAGTTAATATAAATATCAGCCGAGTATGTAATCCACCTGGATTTTAGTCACAGAAAACAATCGCAAAGGGGTTTTTCTTAGAAATGAAATAAGAGGCATATGAATCAATGTAGTGACCAAGAAATCAGCTTTATTTCATTTCATTGTGTTTAAAAAAAAAATTCGGGTAAGGGACCGCCTCGACTGGCAAGGATAACTTCCATTCCAGAGACTCCATTTAAGACCACTTTTTGCAGCGATTGAGACCGTATAGAAGCAGAAACGTGTCGAATATTCTCTTTCAAGGTGACAACCGTTCAGTGCGTATTAGAGAAAAAAACTAGAATAATAATAAATAACTAGTAAAAAAATTTTGCTAATTTTTTTTCCAAATTTACATATTTTGACCTTTCAAAGTAAAGCAATCTAGAGTTGAATTTTGCATGTTTTGAAAATTTTATAATTGTAGCTTATAAAAAAAATATCTGCTCAGAAGATATTTGTCAACCAAATGTATCCACTTTTGGCATATAACGGGAAAATAATGCTACAATTAAAAAAAAAGCTTTCAAATTTCTTAAAAAGAAATCGGCGTTTTTGGAAAAATTACCTTTTTCTGACATCATAACTTCTTTTACTAAAATCAGATCTAAGGTATTATCCATAACTAATTTGAATAGTTTTGCATTATACTGAGACATTGAACTGACTTCTTCAAAACGGGATTTGCTAAACTCAACCCTTTTCTCAAACTAAATACCATTACGAGCTCAATTCACACAGATATCAGATATCGAAATGTCAGTAGAGAATCAAGAATTAATATTATTTTATTTGTATCTAACCCTTCAGTTAGAAGATATTTACGGTCTAACTTACCTATCAGAGGTAAGATATTAAAATAGATAATAAATATATAGATAATGTCTGTATTAAAAGAAAAATTAACAGAAAGAAGTTTTTATTTTCGGTCAGGACGAAATCTCTGGACCTATAAGTAACATTTAAATTTTTGCACGCTGTTTTAACAATTTAAATCTAAAAATTTATATCTCAAATCAGTAGTAGATTCAGATCACTATAAAATTTTACGACCGGTTTTCAATATTTTAGAGGATTTTTTCGAAAATCTTGAAAACCGATCGTAAAATTTTATATTGGTCCGATCTGGTCGGTTCCGACAAGTTATCAAAACCATATAATGAAATATCTCAAAATTTGTACATATTTCGGACCGGAATAAATATACAATTTAATCTTCATATATGTATATCTTACAATAACTAATGGCATTACATTACGAAAATAAAGATATAATATATAATATTTATAATAAATATAATTTTCATATACCATTGGTATGTAGTATAATGAGAGGTATTTCGAATCAGTGGAAAAATATCTAATATTTGCATTTTCTGATAAATAAGAAGATGTGTAACAAATCTTATTTTCCGACTGTAGGAAGCTAATACTTGGAAGGGTAAACATACCAATTATCATAGTGTCCAAATTCTAAACAAACTTGTAAAAAAAATTCAGAATTTTCTAGTAATACCATAGTAGAAATTAAAACAAAAAATTGGAAACACGCGTGTTCTGAGCACTTTTTCCGCATTGTCTACATTAACTTTGAGATACGAAAGAGTCGTTCATCATAGCTCTGTAGCTGATTAAATACTAGAGTTGTGAAATGAATTAAAATAATAATATCACGCCAAAAAGTATGCAACGAAATATTTTTTTAAAGTGAAATTCTCAGACGAAAGGAATATAATTTCATCGCTCAGATATAAATTTCCTACATTTATAATATAATATAAACTCTCAATAATATTTAAATAATAATTATGTATATAAATAAATATGTATTATTTTCATACACCTTAGAATGATACACTGGGAATGATTTGATAATCGACGCAATTAAAAATACATCAAAATCTCAAATTTATTTATATATCTATATAATTAAATTTAATATATTTATATAAATATTGTTTAATAACATAATACAATGCTCCAAAGTGCATTAAAATACTATTGTAGTATGCAAGCTAATAAAGTAGTCTGGAGTGAACGTACATACGTGCATACATACCTACATCTCTGCATTTACTCATGCGAACATGCAGACGAATTAGAGTTTAGAGCGCTACAGCTCACAAAACTGCCAACATGAGGCAGGAAGTCATTACGTTAGTAATTGCGGATTATGAGCTCAATGTAAATATATATGTATGTAGTTCAATCAGCATGAATTGTGCTGCATATTATATTGATTATATCTTAGTGTCTAAGCTTGGGTGGTAGGAGGAAGAGTATGTTAAATAATATAATACCTTGGAATTTATTCATAGAGCCTTTTGGCTCTCAATGAAGTTCGGGAGTGAAATTAAAAGGAACACGGTAGAGGTGGTGCGGGGTGATCAATATGTATTTATTGGGTGGAGCTAAGGGCTGAGCTCCGGTTGATGATTTGGCTTTGGTGCGGAATGTTCATTTCATTTGTTGCGTTGAGAATTTATTGAGCGCTTTGGCTCTTTAAAATTTGTAGAGCAAAGGGTTGCTCCAGTGGTTTTGTAAGTCAAACCTACACCATTTAGGAACTGGCGTTTTTCAGCAGTTCTTGATGCTGGCAGACATCTAAGCTTATAATAATACAAGAACACCGAGTTTACCATCTAATAGACACTAAGTTTATGGCTTCGCTGTTCATCTGAGAATTGCACGTTTGCGTATAAGCATGCATAAATACCCCATATGTTAGGAAGCAAAACTAATGCCTAAAAGTATGCTGGGGAAATTGGGTGTGGTATGATCCATGCTTAAACACTTAGCTTATGCCTTCAAGCCGTGTCTTAGAATCATAGTAAAGGTATATACCAAATTAATAACTACATATGCTGATATGAGTATCTCAACATATTCAGATACACTTCGATTATATAATTTTGTTTTTAAATCTCTTTACTTAGTCCAGCAAAAGAAAAGAAAGAAAAAAAACACTTTAAGCTCCAACATTTCATGCCTTTAAATTATAGCCGAATAAATATGTGAGGAAAATATATTTTTCAAAGCACATTTTCTCACTAGCGATACTCTTTTCTTCGACTTTGAATGAATAAGAGAAAGCAATAAAATCAGAATTTATAGCACACAATGGACAAAGAGAATCTTGATGGTCGTAAATGAAAGATTTTAAATTGGTTCAAGCGAAAGTCGTAGGATGTAAGTATATGTATGTAGTTATGTATTTTCAGAGGGACTATTGTCGTAGATTAAATTTATATTTTTTTTCTGTAATTTTTGGATTATCTTCTTAGCCTCATACGTATTACCAAATTAGATTTATGTAAAAAGAAGTGAGTTTTTCTTTATTATTTATTATTTTTATTAAAAATATAAAATTTGTACTATAAAAAAAAATTACTAAAATTGTGTTCTTCATCTTTAATGGCTTAGATACCGTTTAACCGATTATAGCCGAGTTAACAACGGCGCGCCATTCATTCCTTCTTTTCGCTGTTTGGCGCCAATTGGAAATATCAAGTACAACCAAGTAGTTCTTTACTTGTTCTTTACAAGGCAGGCACTGCGTCCAAAGCATTCAAAGCTGTAGTATTAATATCGATCCGTACCGTACGTGACCTAGCCAGCGTAGCCACTGTCCTTGATTCATTGTACAGCTCATCGTTCCAAGATCATAAATCTTACTCAAACCCTTTCTAGCAAAAACTCCTAACTTCGTCTCATCAGAAGTTGTCATCCTCCATGCCTACGATTCATATAGCACGACGGGTATGATGAGCGACTTGCGCAGTTTGGTCTTTGTTCCTTGAGATATCACTTTAATTTTCTATTGTTTAGTCAGTGCAAAGTAGGAACGGTAGACAAGAGTAGTTCTGCGCTGGATTTTAAGGTTGATAATATTATTGGTGTTAATGCTGGTTCCTAAATAGACGAACGATCCGAGTCTCGAATACGATGAGTGTTTGTTTGATGATAAACGATATTTCGACTTGGTCGGATTATTTGAAAAGCAAAGTGAAATTCTCAATCAAGGAGTGGGAAACGTAGCGTAAGGAGCTCACTTAGCTGTGTGAGGTTGAATGAATTTGTATTCCAATGAATTTAAATGGGCAAAGTTAAACAAATGTACCTCATAACTCAAAATTGTATGTTTTTTAAGTTAAAAAAGTTAGGTTAGTAAAAAATATTTTAATCAAAATAAATTATTTTTAATTAATTAGAATGGGCGCGATTTTATAAATTATAACCTAAATCTTTTTTTATCAAAACATAGCAATCGAGAAGTGGTTAATAAATGGAAAGAAAATCCACAAAAAAGTTTTAAACGTTTTTTAAAAGTTTAAGATCGATCTCTATAAGAAAAATTAAATAATAAAAAAGCTGATATAAGAAAGTTCATTTGTTCTACTAATGAATCAAAATATTTTGTTTGTTTGTAATCGATAATTTAATTAAGTTTCCGAAAATCGATATATATACATATATCGATATATATACATATATCATACGTTTGAACACTTATCGGTTAATTCTTAGACACACTAAAATTTGGTCGTAATCGATTAATAAATGAAATAATCGATAAGTTAATGTCATTTTGTGATTTTACAATCCATTAATGAATGAATTTACCGATAATTGATCGAGATTCGATATTACACTTATTGTCAAATTTATGAGAACAGGTCGATTATTCTTCAGGCAAAATATGCTTTTTTCATAATCGATTAAATAATAAAATTATTTCTGGATTATGGAAATTTGTTATCATATACTAATATCGATATTTTTTTGAAAACATATAGATTAATCGTATCGAAATTGGATGTCATATGTATCCAAGTTTGCGAAATAACTATTGATCGTTAGACAAAATATTGTTGGTTCATAATTGGGTAATGAATGAAATATACGGTAAGGTATAGGGACTGGATATAATAAATAGAGATAGATAAGAATTGAGAAAAAATCAGATAATCTTCAAAATCATTTATTCGTAATCCATTAATGAATGAAATTATCAATAATTTATCGAAATGATAATCGATAAATTAAATTATTCTTTAGAGAAAGTATATTTTCTACGTAAAACATTAATGAATAAAACTGCAAGTAATTTATCGAAATTTGTTATCATATATATTGATAAGTTTTGTAAACATATCTATTAATTTTTTAGCCAAAATATCGTTTGTTCCTAATCGATCATTGTATTCAAGTTGCCGAAATTCAATATCAAATAAATCAATGTTTCCAAGCACATGTCGGTTAATCTACAGACAAAATATTTAAATTTATTCGTAACAGGTTTACAAATGAAATTACCGATAATTTTTGGAAATTTTTTATAATATAATTATATATAATATACTACATGTATAAGTTTTCAACGCATATCGGTTAGCCTTTGGGGAAAATGTTGCTTTTGTAATATTGAAACTTGATATTATGTATCGACAAATAACCAAATATTATCGATTAATATTTTGAAAAGCGATAGATCAAAAATTTTATTTCATAATAAATTTCAAGCTAAAATTTGAGCACAAAAATTTCAACATAACAAAAGTGAATTTCGGTTTTTCGTCACCTGTTTTTTGCTCTTTATTGAAACTTTTTTAAAATTCTTATCAATTGAAATTTTTAAAATTTATTTTTGCTTTAAAATTTTTTTATTTAAAAAAAATTAAAAAAAAAATGTTTTTTGTTTAACTTCCTGCTTATCCCCACTATATAATTATAATTAATAAATAAAATAAAAACAAACACTTCCAGCTCACTCACCCTCATCGCCTCCTCGTCGGCCACCGGCGCTGTCACCGTTAAATAATACACATTATTACCCGCAAGCGAGCGACACAAAAGTCTTAATTTACAAAATTTCGATTTGACAGGATCCTTTTGTATAGACATCAGATAATCCTGCAAACAAAAAGAAGAGCAAATTAAAAATTAAATAATGATAGGTGGAAATTGAGTATTGAAAGGATGATTGTCTGTGTATTTATTAATTAAGATACACACACTCCCACGCATGCCAACGCACACACATATACCCATAGGCATACCAATGGCTCTTAAGTAACCACTGACCTTTTCGAGCACACGAGCCTCAGCTGTTGGGAGTGCACTTACAATATATACTTATATACGCTCTTACAAACTTGTATACCTTCTTACATAGTTGTATAAGCCATGCAAGTATGTGAGTATAAGCATTCCTTACCTGCAAGTCACTGTACGTGTACGGATAACTGTGTGCGAAGTATACCGTATCGTTGTCGTGTTGAAATTCAATATTAAACGTTAACGTATAGGAGCTGTTTTCATCCTCCTCCTCGCCTGTTGGTGTGCTGCAAAGGGAGATAATATAAAGGACAAGGAAGAGAATGTAAAATTTAAATTATCACACGTCGATCGGCGGGAGCTGTGTCAGCCGAAAGAGAAAGTGTAAAGAGATTACAAGGCGTTGCCATGAAAAATGGACTATAATTGGATTTTTCATTTGCAATGGGCAAACAGGTGTTTGTTGTATATGTATGAGTGTACGTAAATCAAGCACCTTAGGGTGTTTCGACATTTCATACAAAGCTTTAAAGATGTGGCAGAAAAACTAAAAGAAAAACGTTAAATACATTATTTACGCATTTTTTTTAAATATCTGAATTATTTGAGCTCTCCCAGTACAACAGTGCGTATACGTAACATTTTAAATTTTACTTGTAAAATTAAATAGCAGTTTAAGCTTAAATTTCCTAACAAAATATATAAACGATTTTCATCAGTTACCTTTTCCTTTAATTAATTTTAATTAAGTTTGCTCACAATTAAACACAAAATCATTTTATTTAACTCATTTCTTTTTAAATTAAAGAACGAAAAATAAAAATTTAGCTTTACATAGAAAGTTACAAATGCCACCCTCATGCGCATCCACATACATACAGACATACATATACGCTTATGCCATTATGTATATCCTTGGCCAAGTAATCTTTCTCTATCTTTCATCTCTCATAATAAACTCACTCATCATCGTTGCGATAGTAGGCGATATTTGTGCCGCAACGCCTCCAACCCTCACGTGTCTGCTTGGCGTTGATGGTCGAATACATGAGCGGTCGCATGCCATCATTATACAGGCTATCCGATTTGACCAGGTTCACGATGGAAAACCTTTTTGTTAGTGTTGTTGTATTGAAGTGATAAAGAGAGAGAGGGAGAGAGAGGGAGAGAGAGGGGGAGGCGATCCGGTGTTACATCCAGCAGTGTTTGCATGTTGCACGGTTGGACGATTACATTGAGTATCGAAGCCGTCAGAGACACATGTTGCATCACCACCACCGGTCAGTATCATCAGCAGCATCAGCAACGTCATTATCATTGTAGTTGTGCATGAACGAAGAAGCAATTTCGAAACGGAAATGAAATGAAAAAGAATTTTTTTTTTGCAAATTATTTGGCGTTGACCAGTGGAAAATTGCTGTTGGCTGATTGTGGGTCGTGTGTGTGTGTGTGTGTGTGTTTTTGGGGATTGTATATGTTTGTGTGTGTTTGTGCAAAGTGAAAGTAAGTAGAAATGCATAAATATCTGCTCGACTCGATTTTCAATCAAAGGATGAGTGGAAAATGGTTGAAAATTGATTCTTAATAGTTTTGAATGCAATCGTAGCTCTCGAGTGATGATGGTAATCTATTGTGGTTGACAGTTCTATTACATTGAAGCTGATAAAGCGGATTGGTCTAAAATTGTTTGATTGGACCAAAGGGTTTGATGGTTTGAACAAAGAGGCATCGCAGTGGTGTGAAAAGTTGTGGTACGAAAACTGAAGCGCTGCTAAGTCCAGCTTCTTCTACGAATTTGTTTTACCAAGAAAGTGAGGGACCTATAATTTACTTTACACCGCCGCCGAACGGCTGATAATCGGTTTTTATGAAGAGATTTTTATTTAATGACAGAAAAACTATCGGTATGATTGACATTCCAAGCCGAGGGGCGAGCCATTTGAAAAACAACTTTCCTTCAAATTGGATATAAGGGTCTAGCCAGGATTCGAACCCATGACCGAAGGATACCGTTGGATTATTTCTACATAGAGACACCATGTCAAATTATTGCATTGGATTTCAAGGCTACTCGAAAGAATCGGAAACCGTTCTTCCAAAAGTAAGGGTCGGGGCGCGGGCTTTGTGATCAAGGTACTATACATCGAGTACCACAGAGCATATGAGAATAACTTGCTTAGAAAGTAGAGTCCAGTGTGATTGGCGCCTCCTCCATTTGAGCCAAATGCAGGTTAGGAACCGGAGAAACTTGTGGCGCTTAAATTCCAACTTTGTGAATATGGAAGAATGGATCTTTACTAATTCTGGCTTCATTCATTCTTAGAGGGCATTAGTATTGATAAAGATTTTGACTGACTTCGAATCCTACCCACAATGGGAGACTCAAATAGCAACATACATAGCAATTTTGGCTTAGAGATTCAAGACGTCAGACATGACTGAATTCCAGTAGTTGCCGCGGACTTATCTTAGGTTGTTTATGAACAGAAGATGAAGATTGTGCTAGGTCGTGTGGAAATAAGGTAAGGTCGGATGAAGATTAGATTATGTCGGATGTAAGTTAAGTCTTCAGTAAAAAAAATAGGTTAGGTCCAATGGAGATTAGGCCAGGTCGGATGTAATATAAGTTAGCCCATATAAGATTAAGTTAGTTTAGATCTGATTGAGATTATGTTAAGTCGATTAGAAGTAATATAAGGTCTAATAGAGGTTAGGTTATGTCGGATGGCAAATCGGTTGTATGTTAGGTTGGTTTGAATGGAGATAAGGTTAGACCGGATGGAGGTTACGTTAGGTCTGATGGAGTTTAAGTTAAATTAGGCCGGATGGAAGTTAAGCCAGTTCAAATGGAAGTTAGGTTAGCTCGAATGAAGATTAGGTTAGGCCGGATGGAAGTAAGGTATGGTCGAATAGAGGTTAGGTTTGGTCGGCTTGAATTTAGGTAAGGTCGGTTATAAGTTAGGTTAGTTCGAATGATTATTAGGTTAGGTCGGATGAAGATTAAGTCAGTACAGATAGAGCTTAGGCTAGATTAGGTCGAATAGAAGTTAGATTAGGTCCGGTAAATGGCTCTAAACCCCAACGCGATGCCTGAAGAAGCTTAATTTCTTTGCTTGTCATTGTGCGTTAGAAATTGTTAAAACCAAATACATTTGATATATGTAATTACAAAATCCTCTCCACTTACCTATAAATAACATTCTTCCTAGTCCGACGCACACGAAAGTAGAACCATTGCTTAGAACGGCTCGTGTACAAATCCGAACGCAGATGTAGCTCATAATAGGTTTGCGTTATCATCACCGCCTTCGCCAGATTGCCGGACTCGAAACGCGACTCAAACTCCAGACCATCATACTCCTCCGCACTGCAGGGATGACAATTCATGAGGATCTTAGAACCACCGAATGCTGAGCGACTAAACTGAGTATCATATAATGAATCAGAATTGGCAATTTCATTATTTCTATTGGAATTATCATTCGTTCTATTTTGATTATCATTACAATGTTGTAAATCACTAAGAAAATCTAAACTCTGAATTTGTGCATTGATTGTACTGGACGCAGATGATGAGCTTGGTTTGAATATCTGATTTTGTGCCAATCTTTCAACGAGTTGTTTATTCATTGATTTGGAATTTGGATCTTTCAATTTTGCTACCGCCGCCAGTGTTGCGTGCGTAGAATTCATCATATTCGTGGTGGTCACGGTTTCCCGCAAAGTCTTACTACCGTCATCATCATCGTCCTCGTTGACGTTGGCCTTGTCACGATTTGCCTCAACATCAAGGTCACTGCTTAAGCTACTACTACTACTACTACTGCTGCTACTATAACTAGATTTCGCGCCCATCTGGCAACCTAACTCTCCTGACGAGTAGTTACTATGGACATTTGATTTGCATTCACTTAATTTTACCGGTGCGATGGGACGTGTGGGTAGATTTGGTAGTGGTTCGTCTTCGAGACATGTGTATGCTGTTGATTTGAGCGCTTTTTGCTTATTTTTAATTGTTGTTATGTCTTTGCCAAATTGACTCTTGATATAAGTAGGCGTGGCTGGTTGGTATTCAGGCGATTGGCTTGCCCAAATATCATCGATGTCATCGTTAGCGTTATCATCAGCTTCAGTTTTCTCTTCGATTACTTTGGTTAAGGTCTTTTCGACTGTTTTTGCGTGCATTTCATCATCGTTCTCGTCATCCACATCGTCATTTTCATCATCATCTTCATCGTATTCGTCGTTGGAATTGCTCGAAGAGCGTCGTTCCAGACTGGCCAACATTTTGGTGAAAGAATTCTTCAATTTCAACTTACGACGATCGGGCGTACTGCAATCGGGTGAAGAACCACGAGACTCGGAGGATGATATATCCGAATCGCTAGACGAATTCTGTGCTTTTGATTTTTTCTTCTGGATATTTTTCGCAATGATTTGTGCAGTTTGGTTTGATCGATGAAAATAAAACGAGATAAAAGTAAAAAACAAAATTAAATTAAATTAAAAAAAAAAAAATAAAAAACACTTATGAAGAAACAACATATATTTAAATAAACAAAAACAAAAAAAGATTCAAATTTTTTTTACTACCAGCTCCGACACGTCATCTTTTATACAAACAATGTAGACTGAAAGGAGCTCTTAAGACAAACTAAACATTGCTTCTAATTTCAGTGAAGATCAGCATAAATGTTTTATGCACCTGGAACTACCGGTTCCTTAATAGAGAATTTGCTTCTGTCCACTCGGTTGACGTTCTCATCAAAAGCCTGACATCACCGCCATCCACCGATTGACCGGAAAAGGATGGAAGAGGATTTATTGTTATGGCTTTTATATACAGTATCTACATAGAGGAGAGCGTGTATGATGTTGGATTGGTTGTTGGAAGAGAGTTCTGTTCTTAAACATACGGTCCACACAACGAGGTATCCCTTAATGGGTTATAGTTATCTATAACACCAGATTCCGACAAAAAAAGATTTTAAATTAGCTCGACCATGTTGATTGTGATTGACGTAAGAGTGTCTTGGATGTGCGCACTCTACGGTTTTTTAACATCGGTTCAGACCACCATCTTGATGCAGTCGAGATTCGAGATTCTACCTTGAGCCACCAAGAACGCGCGTCAACACGTACACGGAAAGTTTGACGCTGAAAATCACAACAGATAACCGGCAAGTGGAGAGAGAGGAGAAGAGAGCATGAATTGTGTAGGAATGATGAGCGTAAGAAGCTGGCAGATAAACACAATGTTCTATAAGATGATGAGTCGACATGTAGAAGGTTTCGAGACAAAACCATACTTAGGAACTCGAGACAAAACAATACAGGAACCAAAGAGGCGATCTGTGGACGGATACAGGGAACAGCTCCCCCTTTGCACCTAGAGATGTAGAACCCGATTACCGATTCTATCATATCGAAATAGACCTTTCGTCGAATTCGATGGAAGCGGTAAAACCATCCGATTAGTCCGCGTAAGGATCTTTTGATATCTTAGATGGGATGATGACAATAATTCTGTAAACTCTTTACCAAAATGTCTTAAGGACAAGCAACAGAGCTAAGAGCTTTTAAGGCCTCTTTTCCAGGGTTCAGGCCAAGAAAGTAGTCTTCTTGTGCCTCAGAATTTGAGAGGTTTCTTGAGTGAGCTCCCCAGAGTGGCAGTGACGAAATGGAAGTTTAAATATTATTTGATCTGAGCTGCAAAGTCAATGGAAAGTAGAGCTACTTCTGTAGTGGTTCACTAGAAGCACTGCAGAAAACACGTGAAAACCAGAGTTTTTTGGTTTCTAAATTAAAGTTAGGTTGACCGAGATCGGAGTCTACGATTTAAAATTTACGACGAAATATAAAGCTCTCGAAGATCAAGCTTACAATGGCTCATTTCAATATTCGCTTCACAGGGCGACTTGATTATTGGCACGGAAATGAGCTTTTTTTTAATTTCTTTTACGTTCCCCAAACATTAATTAATCAACAAACTGACCTACATGCTGAGAATAATCATTGAATAATCGACAAACGACGAAATAGACTTCCCTTTATTTCGCAATTGCACACTCACCTACTAACATACATACTTACATACTCACATACAAACATACATATATTGTAGATATTTTATAACTTTTGCTTTCTTTAGATATGTAGGAAGTGAATACCAAGCAAAGCACGCCACCTTTGCTTCGTACGACAAGTACACACACACACGCAGGTAAACTAATCAAAAGGCGTGAAGAAAGGCAGAGCAATTTGCCAAGAATGCATAGCAAAAGGTGTTCATTAACGCCATCGACGCGACGAGCGCTTGATTGTGGATGATTAAAAATGCAAGAGACAAATTTCAATTGTGTAATGTTTGGCAGTGAGGCGACAGCTGGCAATGAGTTGATAGCGTCACAAGCAATGAAAGTGATGCCATCGTGGGTAAGTTAGGTCAGAGTGGTCAGTAAGCCAACTATTGATGACGTAGTGCCACCGTTGTTGTGGTTGACAAACATTCGAATGTAGATTTGCTTAAAATAAAGATGCTCGGAGTTGAGTTTAACCGAGCCGAGGGGTGTGAAAATAATTCTGAAGTTTCGCCCTTTGATACAGAAGGAGAAAGCCTATGGTGGTTCTAGGCAACTGATCCAAGCCAGAACCAAACCGAATTTTAAAAATTACTACAACTAAGCAGTAAAAAGATTTAAAACCCACAGCAGGAGTCGGAAGAATTAAACACCAAACCAGTTTTTTTTTTAATTTCAGTTCCTTGAAATTAAAATTTTATTATGGGAAAAAGTACCGGAGATGCAAAAATGGAAAATTCACTTTAGCATTTTTAGGTCATATTTTCCAGGTGGTTGGCCTAGCACTGGTTTATATGATTGGCGCTTTGTAACCGCTGAAGCGATTTTCGGGCGCGCTCCCCTTCCTCCTCCAAAAAAAGGAGGGACCTACAGTTTATACTAAGTCGCCTCCGAATGGCTCACGGTTTTTTTATGAGGAGCCTTTATATCGTGTCAGAAATACACTCGGAGGAGTTATAGAGTGACAAACCGCCTCTCTCAAATCCGCAAAAGTTCACCTGTGCTATCAAAGATGTGGAACTCAAAGTACCTGAGTCTTAGTATTGCAAAAGTGGGGCAATCAAGAAGATTATGACGTGAAGATTCAAACTCGTCAACCTCCATGGGCTTCCTGCAACGATAAGCGGGCTAGATTTTCAAGCGTATAGTATATAGATAACAGTGTCGCTAACAGAAGCGAGATTTGATGAGTGCTAAATGACCTCTTGTGTTCGCCATTTTGGGTAGTGGTCCATTGATCATGGAGAAGACCACAAGTAGTCAGAGGCGTTTTCAATCGGCTTCAGTCGAATAATACCGAATAAAGGGTGTCCATTATGCACTGCCGCAATAACCGGGGAGTTAGTAATGTGTACTAGCACTCAGAAGGCCTTGGTTCGAGTTCTGGTTCAGACCAATATTCAAGAACTATAGAAAAATAATTTGAGGATGGTCAACCCATCTGACTGTATTGCTGATATTAAATAAAAACTCCTCATAAAAGGCCATCGACCGTTCGGAGGCGGCACAGTAGGTCCCTCCAATTGTTGAAAATAATAAACATTGGCGTGTGTCCAAAAATTGGTTGTTGTTGTTATTGTTGCAGCGGTTCGCTAACTCCACTTGGGTACAGGTCGCCGTAAAGGAGCTCGGTTACAAAGCGCCTATTATAAATACATACATATTATATTATCCCATGCCTCGGTATCTAAATTAAGCATTGATTGAGCAAATTGACTTGAGACCACGATAATCGCATCCACAGGTAAGGAAGCCTAACAACAGGACCGATCGCAAGCTCTCAGCAAAAATTAGAAACCAGTTCAAAGATAAAAGCATATTCAAACGCTAAAACTCCATGGATACTGGATACGAAGTAAGCGAATAAAGAAAGGCTTGCAACCTTTTTTGACGGACCCGAACCAGAATTGTTATGCTCGTTGAATGCTCTATATTTCTAGGACTCAAAGCCTCTGCACTATAGCGGCAGCGTTTTAAAATAAATAGACCCGATACGATTTTTCTTTTTTTTTTTTTTAATGTTTTCAACGGAATCGAAGTCGAAAATCCGTTATATCCCTAACAACACAAACCAACCCGCCACGTTTTGTCGCAGTGACACTGACAATGGCAATCACAAACCTTTACACCACCAAGACCAATGACAGCACTTGGCACCATTAACAGACAGTGACAGCGAAGTCGATGGCAACACCAACAGCCAGGTCGACGTTAACGTATTGTAAACGGTGCAATAGCAATTTCATTTATTCGCACAATTCATGCGTACTAAAATTCATGCAATTTATTTTTATCTCATTTTAATTTTATTTCATTTTGATTATCGCTTCGTGTGAAATATTCTCATTGCGCTTGTTTGTGTTGTTGCTGTTGTTGTCACTTGTGCAAATTAATTCCGTTCGACGATGGGCCTGTGTTAACTGTTCATTTGATTTTCCGCCGCTATGAATGCACCGAAATTCTGTTGCTTTTGTTGTTGCTGCTGTTGTTGTTGTTGTTATTGCTGCCAAACTTTTCACGAGCAAACCAACAAGCAACAAGAACAACAACAGTAATAATAATAATGAAAAAAAAGTAATTAAATTTTCAACAAATTCCTGTCATCGCCTCGCTCTCAAAACTCTCTCCCCCTCATTCAATCCTCTGAAATGTAAAATTCGCCGGCGTAGCGCGTACAGCGAGCATTCAGGCGTATACACAATGAAAAACACACGTGCATACATATACTTTTGGTCAATTATAATTTTGTATATGTATGTTGCTTTTATTGTTGTTGCTGCTTTTGTTTTCGCCCTCTCATTTGCAAAATGACAGAAAATTCGAATAATTTGCGGTTTGCTGTTAATAATACACAGAGCCACATAGAAATGTCTCTGTGTTTGTGTGTGTGTGTGTGTGTGTTGTTTGTGCCACTGATTCTGCACGCGCTCAATTTCAATTGCCATCGCGCACATAACCACTTTGCCGCTTATTCGTACCGGCACTCAATTATTTAATAGCTTTTTCGTGCCATATTTGCCTAACGTTTTTATTGTGTAGTTTGTTGAGCCGCCCACGGCTAATAAGTGGCAGCTGTTGCTGTGTTCAACAGCACATTTTGGCTGAAGCAGTGTGAGTGTGCAGATACACTTAAGGTCCGGGAACATTTCAAACATAGAATGAGACACTAACTTATTGGATTGCAGATAAACCAAGCTGTTACCTGCATGAAGAAAGAGAAAACTTAAGATTTTTGTAGATGTATTGTCGGATCTTCCGCCCTTAGAGTTCGTCTCCACAAGCTAAGTAAAGTTGAAACACTGGTTCAATACATTTGTCAATGCCCGGCGTCATATAAGGTATCGTAAATATAAAACTAACTAAGAATATCAGAACGTAAAGTAATAGAATAAAAAAAAGATAATTAAAACCAAAACGCGATTGTGAATTTCAAACGCCTGCCAATATGTCGCTTCGCCGCATTAAAGCATATGAGGATATGATACAAACACCTTAACACACATTAAAAAGTTGAATTCATTCAACGACGTCACTTCTACATAAATATGTCCGAGGAATTCTTCAATATTTATCTTTACATACACGCAAACTTACATAATTGACAGCGCTAACGGGATTGTAATTGAAGACCACCATGCCATTCTCTTCGCCCACCGGACGTGGTTTTAATTCATGCCCGGACGGCTGATTGTACGGCTCCGGTTGTGCTGGTACAAACGGTATGTGAACGACACTCTCCTCGATGACCTGAAGGAAGATGGAAAGTAGAAAGAAAGAAAAAAATTAAATAAAATACTCGCAAGAGTTTAATAATGTGTTTAAGCTCAATTTAATAAGTAAAAAAATAAATAAAAAATTAAATAAAAAAATAAATATAAAAATAAATAAAAAAATAAATAATAATTTTAAGTATTTTATTTTATTTATTTTCGTTGCCATAAATTACTTTTGAATAATTTTAATTGTTTTTGATTAATCGCATTAGTTGATGATAAACGAATTATACGCGTATTAATTTGTATGCAGTGTGTGTACCAGAGAGCGCTGCCAATGCGCGATGGTGCCAACAAAATTCTATTTATTGTACATGACAGTTGTATTTTGTTTTGCAGTCACATTTTATCTGACGCCATAATTAATTAAATTTACTGAATAACAAAGAGGGAATAAGAATATTTAATATTAAGGCTTTTTTTCACTTATCAACAAATTTTAAATATTTTTTTTTGACAAATTTACTATCAAGGCTCATAGGTTGGCAAGAGAGCTGGCCGAAGAGCTTTTAACCTCTAACCCTTTCTATTCCTTAAACCAATGATGAGCTTCTTATGAACTGACATTCAAGGTTCGAATCTGAAGAATTTAATGTGTTCTATATAAAGTTCGTGAGTGAAAAATGGAAAACTGTTTCCTTATTCCCTTCTAGCACGTATTGCAGCAATAACTATTATAAGACAGACCCATTTTCGATGCATGCTCTCTAAAGCTTCAATGTCCCGCTATTGTAGCTATAAATATATGTTACACTCTTCCTGGACATATTTATTAAGTACTTAGCTCTCGTCAAATCTTCTTCATTATCTTAGAAGTTGGAGTGCATTTCCATCTGTTTTGAGGCATTAGTTCAAACTTTATGTGGGGCTACATCGCAATTATTCCCAACGTTAATGGTGCTAACTCTGCTTCGGATTCGTCAAGAGAAGCGCCAAACTTGGCCAACTCGTTAGCTTTTTGCTTACCGAAAATGTTTATGTGACCGAAATAATCTATGTTGGAGATGTTGACTTGATCTGGCAGCGAGCACAAAGCACAAGAGAATCTAACGAATTTAGCGGTTTTATGTTTACCAATACCGCCTGGCTGTCCTGTTATGCTTTTGATAATCTCAAATTTGTTTTTTGAAAAATATTGCGGGAATCACAGTCTTTAATTGAAAAAAGTTTGGAACGTTCCGATTTAAAGCTCTGACTGTCGCGGAAACTGTTGGATTTTAGTCGCCGCTTATCATAGGCAACAACAATTCATAGTTTTTTTTTAGATAATTTTAATATTAAATAATAATTAAATTTTGAGGTGAAATGTAGTTATATATACAAAAAATATATATATATATATATATATTAAAATATAAAATATAGTATATATTTGTTTTTTAGAAATTGCAAAAAAAAGAAAAAAAATATTTCCTCCTATTTAAAAAATTATTTTTTTTTTCAAAAATGTTAGGTACGCCCTATTATAAGACTACAACCCATTATTAGCTTCATAAATAATTCCGAGGCATGAAGTAAGTAACGACGCCAGTACATGAGCAATCGTTGAAAATATATAGACCATTAAAAAAAGCAATTGTGGAGAATCTTCGAATTATAATCAGAGAAGTTGCTACAGTCGCCAGCATTTCTCAACTAACGACATGTACTTTTTTCAATGAAGTTTCTTCGGAAATTTCTGAAAAAAAAACACCGAAAATAAAGCTCAATCAGCCCACTAGAAAAGCCAAGTAGAACTTAGATCAACAAAAGCACATAAAAGCTTGGCCAATTGTCCAAATTGTGCTTTTTTTATCGAATATGATGGATTCGTGCGTTAAGAATCCTTACGGTTATTAAGAGGTATTTGACGTTACGTTTGTGTGTGGCAATATAGAAAAACGCAGCCTATTTGCGGGAGAAACAATGCGAAACTTTTGTATTACGATGATACCATGCTTATTGGGATTTATTTTGCCCCCAGAAATCATTGTCCAAGAAAATCAGCTACCGTATTCGTCTGATTTGGCCCCCTGCTTCTTTTTCCCAAGATTTGACTTTGAGCTTTGTTTGTCATCTTCAATGACATTTTCGAAGCATCAAATATTTAGTACAAATTTTGCGGTTTACGAAAGGGTTAAGTTTACACTTGAAAAAATTTGGGAAATGTTTTTCTTAAAATTATTATTTACTTAAAAAATGATGCATTTTCAAACGCAATTGCATGAAAATTACGTACGAAATTCGGTCTAAATATCTCGTCTTCCAAGCAGTTTGTGAATCAATTTGTGCTGCGAGCTCGACACAACCGGTTCATTATCGAACTAAAAACAACTCTCGTACGTGCTCGTGCTTATCCAGTGCGTGCAGAGGCTCATATTGCCGCTGTAGCTAGAAAAGCCATCAAAATGAACTCAACTTTGTTCGTAGGATTTTGCTGAAAAAAGTCCAATTGGTACAAGAACTATCCGATGCGTATTTACTTCGCTCAATGTGCTGAAGATCGCTTTACACCTAAAAATCCACTGGCCCGATGAAGCGAATTTTCATCTCGGTGGCTATGCTAAAAAGCAAAATTGTATGCACGCGTCTCTACAAAAAGCCAATGCATACACAACGAGGGACTACTTGGTACGGCGCTGATTGGTTCGTTATTCGTTCAAAATTGGTAAGAAGCTGTATTGGACTTACAAAAATGTGAGGAGCCGTTAAGGATAAGTGCTGCGCCATCTATCTGGAGACGATTCATGATATGTACCGAATTGAAGTCGTTCTCTGCAGGGAATGAAACCTCCAAACTTCCTATGAATCTATTACTGACATGAAATAAATAATGTCTTCATAAAAATCCACTGTGGATCCTTGCATTTGTTGGCATCTTTTCAAAACGCTAAATACGAATAAGAAGAGGAGCTCGCCTCGAGTTTTACTTATTTAATTATTAATTTATTTATCAGGTGTACAACTTTGCTTCCGCCGTTTTTTTCCAAAATTAAAAGCTTTATCACGAAAAAGTGCCTACAGATATATTATTCAAAGTATTGTCCTTCGCTAGCGATAACTTTCTCCCATCTTTCCGGCAATTTTCGGATCCCGGCTCGAAAAAAGGAGTCCTCTTTTGACGCTATCCATGAAGCAAGCAATCCATTTTTCCAATTCTTCGAAGGATTGAAAATGTTGATCTGCCAAGCCGTATGCCATTGAACGGAATAGATGGAAGTCAGAAGGGGCGACATCTGGGGAATACGGCGGGTGGGGCAAGACTTCCCATTTCAGCGTTTCCAGGTACTTTTTGACCACTTTTGCGACGTGAGGCCGAGCATTGTCGTGTTGGAGGATGACTTTGTTTCGTCATGTTCTTTCTGAATCATGCCCAGGGCCTTGAGACGTTTTCAAATGGCTTGCTGACTCACTCCCAACGATTCGGCAAGCTGGTATTGGGGTTGGCAATGCTTCTAGTGTTCATCTTTGAAGGTTTTTTCTCTCCCACCACCATGTTTGTCTTCGACATCGAAATCATCACTTTTAAAACGTTGAAACCACTCCGGCCACGTTCTTTCACTCAGAGCAGCCTCACCGTAAGTTTCTGAGAGCATTCGATGCGCTTCAAATGCATTTTTTTCGAATTGTAACAGAAAAGTAAAACTTCCCGCAAATGGCGAGAATTAGGCACATAAACGGACATTTTCGAGCGTGAATAATACAAAAACAAGAACAACTGTCACTGAAAAGGCGATGACAATTCGTTAGGCACTGTCCACACTTACTTTAAAGGCATTATCATCTATGGATTTTAACCAGCCTCAGCCGGTACAGCCACCTATCGGAAAACGGCGGAAGCAAAGTTGTACACCTGATACTTAAGTAGTTTCTTAAATAAATCGTAACTTTTCAGAATATTCGCTATTATATTATATTATTAGTTCTTCTTGATAACTTTTAATTAAATCATATTTATATAAATTATATATATTTTAATTATTTAATCAAAATAAGTGTAAATTGGCCAACGCATCTTATCAATTGATTAATTGCGCTTTCCTGATCAAAATATTTAAATATATATATATTTTTATGATTTCAAGGTGTTAGTAACTTTTACAGCGCATAAAATATTGGGCGCACAAATTTTTCATCCAAATCTGTGGCTAATTGCAAAATTTGATTCAATTTGATAAAACAAAACAAAAGCAAACAATGTTTTTGACCTCACATTGTCCGCACAAATTTGCAACTAAAATTTCACTGTCGCACATTTACACATACGTAATACATACATTTACATACATTTGAATCCAAACTAATTTAGAATATTCGCAGTTTAATGAAGCAAATTTATATGTACATATGTAAAGGGTGATTTTTTAAGAGCTACAGGAAGGTTTAAAAAAAAAAACACATAAAATTAAGAAAAATGCATTCAATTTTTATTTGAATCGATAGTGCGGTCCTTATAATTTAAGGTTTGAAGATTATTTCATGCAAATTTTGACCGTGACTGCGCCTCAAATGGTCTATCCGCTTGGTCCAATTTAGTCCAATTTCGGTATACTCTTCCTCTTCCCAACATTTCGGCCGATATCTCACGAATAAATGCTTCAATATTGTCCTCCAATACGTCAATTGAAGCGGACTTTTCTGTATAGATATTAGATTTAACAGAAAATAGTCTAAAGGCGTTAAATCGTACGATTTAGGCGGCCAAATGACCGGTCCCGAACATGAAATAAAATGTTCACCGAATTCGCCTCTCAATAAGTCGATTATTACGCGTGCAGTGTGGCATGGTGCACCGTCTTGTTGAAACCACATATCACGCAAGTCAAGCTCTAGTATTTTGCGCAAAAAAAGCTTGATATCATCTAACCATTCCCAGTTGCGTTAGGATTGACATCATCTTTGAAGAAGTATCGTCCAATAATGCCACCAGCCCATAAACCCCACCAAACTGTGACTTTTTCAAGATGCATTGGAAGCGCCTGCATTGCTTCTGGC